TGACACTTGACATGAATAAGATTTGATGTTAATGGTGTTCGCCTCCTACAGGTTAGGATGGGGGGTGGCTTTCTCACCTCTTCTTGAACAAGCAGCTCGTCTACCTTTAAATTATCCAGGGAAAACAAGCTGTCGGCTCTTTCCTTCAGTACTCCCGATGTCGTCATCCCTACATGGAGCTCTAAGCAACCTAGGTCACTTCGTCTCCCTTGTCCCACTTTCTCTCTCCTCCTAATTCTGCTTGCTTTCTGCTTGGGAGCATACAGCCCTCTGCGACTACATTCCTTATTTCTTCGTTGTTACTGTATCTGTTGCTTCTTCTCTCGCCTTTCCCCAGTCCTTGCAGAGGCCCCCTGGTTGTGGTTGTGCTGACCCTCACTTCACCACCAGGGCTCAGTCTGCGCTGGGTCCAGGCCTCATCATCCACAGCCCTGTCCCGGGCTGGGACAGAGTCAGGTTCCCCCCTTGACATGCCAAGACTCTGTAGTTTGCGAAACTTTCATCTAAACAACTTGTTATTAAGTGTGCAAGTGCAGGCCCCAAAGAACTGTAATATCTAAGGGAGGCAATGGTATAACTAAAATCTTGATGTCTGTATAAACATACTGTACCGGATCTTCTTTATATGGATGCCAAATTACAGGAGCAACATCACAATTGAATCAAATTGACAGTGCTCACATAGTCCCCTCATTTTCCTTTCTATATAAATGTAGAATCTCAGAAGAAACAAGAGGGGAAGCCCTGTCTTTTATAATGGAGAGGGAAAATAAAAACAGATAACTGGGAAAACGTGTGCAGCTGCTCGAGTCAGCTTCCATTTGTTTAAAACAAAGTTTTAACTGTGAGGGCATGCAAAGAAGAGTATTAAAGTCTCTTCTTGTGCTGGACAAAGCGAAGTCTCCTGTGTTTATTCACTGCAGTGTGAATTCCTCTGTCCTGATCCCCTGAACAGCTGTGGAAAACCTGGATTATCTCAGACTCTAGCAAGCATTCTTCACACAGCTCAGCTTGCACGGCTCGGGTTGCTGTGTGGCTATGTCTCGGCTCAGGGCAGAGCTGCTCTGTGGCTGAGACTCCTACAGGCTCCTGGCCAGTCCTCAGCAACACTGATTACCAGCTCTCTGTGGCACCGTGTCACACTCTGCTGCACCTCATTCACTTTTGTACAGAGGAGACAGATGATTGGCATCTAATCATATCCTTTAAATACAATATCCCCCCTTAGCATTACTCTATTGTGTAAGGCATAGTGATAGGAAACACTATGCAAAACAAAAATTGCTACATTGTTAAGGATTACTTTGATATCTTTGTACTTCAATCTCTATATTTTACATCTATGCCTTATCCTTTGCATGCACACAGAAGTACACTGAAAAAAAACATTTGGGGAAAAATTACACAGGACAGACATAAAAAACAGCATTGTATTCAAGTCACTTCGGTCAAGCCTAAGTCACGTCTCAGGTGCCAACAGTGTCTCATATTCAGAACAAATGATCAGCAACTGGATAAAACTGGATAAAAGAAAAATAGGACTTTAGAATTTCAGTCAATAAATCGAAAACTGAGCTGGACCCAAAAGCAGCGAAGAATGAGGCCAACAGGAGTCTGGAGGATGGCTAACCGCCAGATTTAGATGCAAGTCAAGAAACTGTGGAGACAAAACCAGACTGCTCAAACCAGTCAAAGTAAGAAACGGCACAAAGAACCACAAGTAGAAGCGCATATAAAAATCAGCTTAGTTTCTGATCATATTCTTTTTTAAAACCACAATTGTGCATCTGGCTATGTTTGAACTACTTTGGGTTTTGCCTTCTTTTCTAATTATGCTGTTACAATCAAACTTAACAGTGCCTTCTGCCACACGGATGTGAGTCAGATAGATTCATATAAATCAATGCTGTTATTGCTGCATTTTCATTAATAAGCAACTCATAGTGATCTGTAATGTCGGTTAATTTTTTATATATTTTGCTTCACAAATATATTTGTATTGCATAAGAAATGGTGCATTTGTGCATAGTTTTCAATTATACACATTGATCTACAGTTTTATCCTGTGTGTTTTGAATGTGGACTTTTGATAGGTGACCTATATATATTTAGGTGTACACAGCTCAAGTATACAGAAATATATAGGTATAGCTAATGTACAAATGAGCAGTAAATGGAGACTAAGAAACACAACATTTAAATGTTTTAATGTGAACACTCAAAAAGTGAGGGCTGCTCAACCCCTGTGGCCAGATAGACTGGCTGGGAATCAGTGCGTGTGACTCCAGACAGTGGTTTATACAGACAATTTGTGCCTGCTATGTGAAGCTGTGACCACAGCCTGGCTAGTAGACCTCAAAGTCTTGTAAGGAGATTTATTTTGGTAAGGAGTGCACATTTGTACAGTTTCCACCAATTTGGATGGCAAAGGTGGAGGGATGTTGGCGTTTCTTGTTTCTGATTGCAGGTTTTGATGAAGGTATGGTTCTCTGGTCCTGGAGACTGCCTGTCAATAAGCTTACTTTTAAATCAACAATTTCTAAAGAAATTGAACAGTGTGAACATTTCAACAGGTGACGAGTTGAATTCTGCAATTGTGTGATCATTTAAGACTAAAATCTAAACATTCACCAGGCCTCAAGGACCAGAATGCAATTGCACAGTTTAATTGTACAGATGACTTGCTTGATTCATCAAAAGCTCAAATGTCTTTAAAAACAAGTGAACTATAAGACTACTGGGGTTGGGAGACTTGGGCTGGAGAGCCCTGGACTAAGCAGTACTTTCCAAATCACCTAAGCTTAATGAAAATAATAATACAGAAATCTAATAATTCAGAGCTGTGTTCATTTAATGTAATTAAATACCACATGTAATTAACTGTGCTGAAGTAACACAGAACTCTTTTGATTCCAACAGGGTCTATACTGTTACACTGCGGCATATAGGAAATTTTAGAGGGATCCCAGGTTGGTCTTATTTTTTAAACAAATGATTCTGTTATAAAATGGTTCCTGTTCATAATGTTGATGTGATCATTTAAATCATAAACACAATTTCAAGTCATTTTAAACATCTGTGTCCCTACTGTTTATCTGTGGAGTGACCTTTTCTCTCTGTGCCCCAGGGCTCTGAATCACCAATCCAGCGTTTGTAAATCTGGTCTGAAAACTTTTTTAAAAACTTTAGAGTCGGTTTGCTTTGCTTCCATATCTAGTTCTGCACTTATATTTGTATAACGATAAGTTCTGTATGTTGGTGTTGATGCCTTTATTATACTCAACACGTCAGTTGAGAATGAAGTCCTATTTACACCAGCAATCTTATTACATATTCATGTCACAATAGGGCATCTCTGGAGAAATGAGTGAATTACCTTGCTAAAGAGTTGTACATCAGTATCCTACCTGGAGTTTTGAATCTGCAAACCTCTGACTGGATCCCATAACTACTGCTAAATGTTGTAAAGCACTTGGAGAAATTGTTTTTAAAGCTGGTATATAAAACATATTTTATTACTACTGTTGTCACTGCTGACTACTGTTGAAATGGCTGGAAAAATCTGAGAACCAAGTTTTAAATGTAATACATTCCTTAACAGGGACAGAGGGTGGAGCAGGGGTTAGCATTATCTGCATAGAGTTTGTATGTGCTCTGGGTTCCTCCCAGAGTCTACAGACATGCCGGGAGATTAACTGGGTTCTGGGGATTTTGGCCCTGGTGTGAGAGTGCGTGTCTGTGTCCATCGGTCCTGCAGGGACAGGGTATTTCCTGCCTTGTGCCCAGTACTTGCCAGCCCAAGCCCCGAATTGAAAGAAAAGGTTAGAAAATATTTGGATATTCTTTAACAGCTGAAAGTGCAACAACTGCTTTGCTAAAATATTCCTTCTAAGAATGGCTGATGTTCAAGGAAGCTTTGAATTGTATCAGAATCAGAAGAGACCCTACACAGACGGCATTTTCAATCTGAATGGCACTTTGTGCTCTGTCATGTAATCTTGCAGTTCATCTAATGACTGATTAAGTGTTAGGTGAAGGAACTGAGTAAAAAAAAACTCACAGCATGCATCTGTTTACTATAAGTGCTAAATATATTGCTTGCTTTACTACAGCACAGAACACTCTAAAATACCTTCACATTCCAAGTGAAAAGTCTGTTTGAGAAGAAAAGCAGAGAAGGAATATTTTCTTGGTCTCTACTTAAATGCAGTAAAAAAAAAAAAACACTTGGATGAGATCGACATCAGCTGAATTCTATCTTATAAAACTGCTCCACAGCACCTAAGTAGGACCTATATGATACAAAATAATCATTCACAATTTATGAGTAGAGTTCTGTGGCGCAACGTAGTCTTACACAATCTCTCCAAAACTGTAACTTTATACAACCAAAGAAATTCTCAAGAAAATAACTGTTATGGGAATTTTTTCATCTGAGGAGCAGGACATAGTCTTTTATAGAATTAAAATTTATTGAGCTCAGTAAGTACAACACAGCACTTGTGCCCAACAGAATACTCTGCAAGGGATTCCCAAACCATATATACAGTATGAGCTCAGAAATAAGTTTATTTCAGTTTTATGGTTGTTTAGGGGTATTCATATTGTGCTTTGATATAAGTTGCTCTGCTTTGTCCTGCTGTCTGTAGATCTTTGAGGGGTTGTCCTGTTTATGGTACAGTATGTTTATAGGTGTTGGGGGTGTCCTTTGATATGTAACCGACATTGATCTGCCTTGGCTAAGGTAACAGATTTAAACATCTTCTGTAGCAGGATTGAGTAGTAATACTATTATATATAGTCATACTATAGACAATACACATAGCATGGTCCATTTCAAGGATAAATTAACAGATCCTAGCAATTCCTCTAAAAGGTTACCAACCACAACCAACATTGTGGTTAAACAGTAAAATTGTAGTGCTGGATATGTGCAATACAGTACATGTGTTCCATTTCAATAACTCTTACAGCAGTATGCATTAAAGAACATGAGTAGATCTGGAAAGACTAGATGAATTTATTTTCAAATGAAGAGGTTCAACCTTTTCAATGTTTACCATTACAATAACACTGCCTTTATTAAAAGTATGTTTACAACAGAGCTGTTTTCAGCTTTCCTGAAATGAATTTCTCCTAGCCCATTTTGAGATGGAAAATCTGACGATTTCACATTATTTCATGATTGACATCGGACTGTAAGCCTTTACAACTGAAGCAGCCCCCTATTAATCTTGTTCCAGTGAAGCTGTGGTCATGTGTTGTTTTGATTAGCATACTTTTCTTCAAACGGCTGCTGCCAGCTTCTGTGCTAATGAAACTCAAGTGCAGCCTCTTGAGACAGGGACAGTGTTTCCCTGTGGAGTTGCAGAGACTGAGCCACATACTGCCATGTACAGAAAGAAGGGAAAGGGTGATAATTAGATAAGAAATAAGTCTTATAATACTCAGAACTTTCAGTCTAGGCTGAAAATTTAGAATCCAACTCAAGTTGTTGTGCAAATAGGCACTATATGGGCAAACTGTCAAGATTAATGTATCCATGTACTTCTTATAGCCAGTATATTGTGTGAAATATAGTGTATCTGGACTCCAGTGGTGAAAGATTTCTGAATAAGGCATCCATGAGGGAGGGAATCAACCAAGAATGCCCCTTTTTGGAGACATTAGCAGAAAACTTTCTTCACTTCTGCTGGTGCTGTCAGCAACAGAGTGTGAACATCCGGCACTGCTGCCAGTGGCTGAAATGAGGCCAGAGCAGAGGTGATACTGCAAATTCACTTGACACATCTGGATTTTCCAGCTGCAGAAAAGGCAGCTACATATTGCTCACATTGCAATTACTTCAATAAAAGTAAAAAATCTTATTTTGCTGGTACATCCACCCACTCAAGGTATGTGTAAATTAGGAATTTGCTCAGTCCCCCCAGAACTGCTTTGTATCACTTCAGCGGGTTGATCAGGTTGAACCTGATTGAGCTACAGAAATTAAAGAAACTAATATGTGGATTTGTGAAACGTTATTTGGCTTAAAAGAATGTATTATTCTAATAATTTAAAATAAACAAATATTTGGACATAAACACAAGAGATTATGAGGGGATCTTATTCAAGTATTCAAAATCCTCAGGGACATTGTCAAAATGAGTACAATAAACATCTTCAGTACTTGGGAGAGAAACAGACCAGAGGACATAAACAGAAACTATGGGAAAGGGGATTTAAAACATGAGAAAGCAGAGACATTTTTACACAAAGGTTTGCAGGAGTAAGACTCGCATATTCACAGTCTTCTCACTCTGTGAAGGTAGTAGTTCCAGAGTGGTTGAGTAGAACATAAACAGAACAATGTAAACCAGCTGAATTGACGGTAGTTGACAGACGTAATTAGGAGGGTCAAGTTTTGATAGAGGGGGATATCTTAAAACCAATTTAAAAGTGTTTGAACATGCTTTTATAGGGGTGTTGTTAATTTTTCAATTTATTAATCACCCCATTAGCACAATTAGCCCTCAAATCTACCCGTTTTAGTACATAACTACCAAAATGGCATTTACTTAATATATAAGCTGTTCAAATACTGCTCTCTAGTGTGCTTAAAGTGTAAAGCATTCCAGTTCTCACTTAAGTGGCATGCATGAAACTAGAGCATCATAAAGCTGCATTAAATTATCCCCTTGTTGCCTGAATTTTGAGATATTCACTCAGTATATCTATTCTCAATTCTCTGCTGCTTCATTCTTTCATACTCTTCTAAAATTCGAAACCCTTGAGACTCAGGTTCTAAAGACTTAAAGCATACATCAATAGATACCATAGTATGGTGAGCATTGGTTGAAAAGCCTAGTCATGATGATCTTTCATTTATTAGTGCCTCTACTAACTTGAGTAAGAATTAATTACCATATCAACCAATTAATTTCAACCTCACTATTTCAGTTCATTCATTTTAAAGTGCCAGTACTGTTTTTGTTCAGTACTCTAGCTTGTCAGAGATTTTTTATACATTGTCCCAACTCACAACCTCTTCTTCCCCGCCCAATAACTCTATATCCATCTTCATCATCCCACCTCAGTTCAGTTCACACATAGTAGTTGTTAATGAATTAATATCACACTCTTAAATTGTATTCCTTTTTTGGGACTGAAGCTTTTAAAAATGGATGAATTACCTAAGTTTTATCTTTAGTGTTGCCATGAACTTTCTGATCCCTGTACAACTGGCCTTCCTCACTCACAGTGTTGCCTAGTTTATTTTTCAACTACTTTGAAACTACTTTTTACAACTACAGCTGTGGCTCCCCATTACTATGGGCATCTCTGGTTCAAGTGCAACATAGATATAAAACAATATGTTGTAATGTGAATAGTAAAAAACTTCTACCTGTACAGTGTACGTAGGATCATAGGATAGAACATCCAAAGTAAATCAATTCAAAGGGATGACCATGGACACAAGAAAAAGAAAAATGGCCATTTGAACATTTTTAAATACCAAGATGGAGTCCACTTTAATGATTTAAATATCACCAAAATTTAAAAACCAGACACTTGTGAATTTAAATTCGTATATGCCTTTTGTCTTTAGAAACAGAAGTTTAAAAAGAAATGAGGTATCAAATTTAACGTGATGCCTCCTGTATTGCATTAGCACACATTCAAACCTTGCAGCACGTGTTGAAAAGTCCCATGTTGCAGTGAGCCATTGGTATTCTGGCTCTGTACAGTGGACTGACTGGCACCAGGTGTTTTCTGAGCAAAGTGGACAGTCCACAGTCAACTGCTCACCCAGACGCAATTTTAGGTTTGGAAACCTTTATCTCGGCAAACAGGCATGGTTGAGTTTCATAAGATTACTCACACGCCATCCGAAAGCAGAACAATCACTTACCGAAGAATCCCTCACACTCAGGATTCGCCGGACTGCAAGGATGTGGTTGGGCCAAGTTAATTAGAGCAGGCATTTCAGCCTGATTCTTTTTTGAAATCATCTGTGAAAACCTGGAATTTGGGGGGGGGGGGGATGAGAAATACAAGCCACCAAAGTGCAGGAAAGTTTTACATCAGCAGCCTGAATATAAAAAAGTCGTCTGGTACCATTGTTCTGGACAACTATTATTCGCCAGTGTTTAAAACTCAACAAACCTCTGAATTGGGTGAGACCCATTCAGAAGTGACAATCAAAAGCTGTTTTATTACAGAAACTCTCAGCATGCTAAATGAAGTATCCTCTCTTTTCAATCTACTGTTACAATCATTTTTGGTAGTTCAATGTTAAGATGACATGGTTTCATTTAATAAACACAAGAACTAAAGTAGAACTTATTGATATGAGAGATCTTTCACTGCAAATAATGAGCACACTTTTCCTTTTTTAGTCTAATGTACTAGACAGCTGTAGTTTCTCAAAACAACAAATCTCTAAAAAATAGTCTCAGCACAAGGCTTGCCAAGCTTTCTAGCAATTACAGCGCAAGTGAAGACTGGTATCATACTGTGTAAACATCAGGGGGCTAAGTAGAGATGACTGGATTTTGTTTTTATATTCTTTTAAAGACACACTTTGAAGACCAGATACTGTTTAATGGCTGCCCTGCTTACAAAACCAGTAGCTGAACCTTTCAGACCTTTCTAATTATTGTACATTGAGACCTATATGGATGTAAACTGGGAAAGGTTTTTATCTAAACATTCAGGTCCATCATGCACTTTTACTGATAACCCAGCATGTCTTATGAAAAGGGCAGTGCTACCAGCAACTAAGTTTTCATATTTTTGCTTATCAATTGAAGAACTTTCAGTTTCGTGCTAGAATGTTAGAAAAGGCAAAAATGAAAATCTCTTACAGCAGGGTCATTTACATTCTGTTAAGGAACTCTGGGTCTACAATAAAGCACAGCGCTGCTAATTGAACAAAAGTCTCCTCCATGTAAAGCTTTTATAAAATATTAGCTCAGAGGAAGCCTAAAATCCCAGCAGCCTGGACTCACACACTCCTTTCAGTAAGCTTAAAAGCTTTCAGAGTCAGAGCTCTAATTTATAGCACATCTCTGAAAATACCAGCAACCACCTCACCACCTGGCAGATAAATAAAAAAAACTACAAAACTAAGAAAGCTTATGACAAACTTTACTACCCTTTTTGGGGGGTGGGGTGAAACACAAGTATCTTATTAGCATTTTCATATAAAAAAGATAAAATTATTCCCCCGGCTGCTGACGGATTTTTTTCCAGTTTTTTATAGCTGGTGAAGCATGTAATAATAGCTTTGAGAGTCTGTGCTCCCCTTTCCCTCAGAGGAACTTTCTGAAGCCTCAATGCGATTCTCCCCACTATTCTTGACAGGGACGTCGGCAGCTGTTCTCAGGACACTCTTTCTCAGATACCAGTCAGTTGTAGCTGAATGTCGCTCATTCCAGGGAGGGAAGCAGTTCCTGTGAGGGAAGAGGACCTGAACGGACAGCCTTCCTCAGTCCGTGGAGAAGAGGTCGCCGGCGGAGGGCAGTGGCGCCAGCCCTCCCGTGACGTTGGGCAGCAGTGAGAGGTCTGGCAGGCTCTGGATGTGTGATTTCAGCTCCTTTCGGACTTGCGTGACCCTGGCCAGCTTCTGTTTGTACTCCTGGAAGACAAGAAGCACACATGAGCGCCCCGAGGAAGACCTGGGGACACTGAGCGAGCGCCCCGAGGAAGACCGGGGACTCGGAGAGTTCGCCCCAGCGAGCACCCTGAGGAAGACCGGGGACTGGGAGCAAGCGCTCCGAGGAAGACCGGGGACTGGGAGAGTTCGCCCCAGCGAGCACCCTGGGGAAGACCAGGGACTGGGAGCGAGCGCTCTGAGGAAGACCAGGGACACTGGGCGAGCGCTCCAGCGAGCCCCCCGAGGAAGACCAGGGACTGAGAGCGAGTGCCCCGAGTCCTAGGACTGGACAGGAATTCAGCAGGATAAATATTTTCTCACGATTCTATAGCAGCAGTTGATTCTGGGTATTCACAAAACACTTGGCACCACCACAAAATTGCACAATAAAGTATAAATAACAGAAGAACCTATGATAATTTCACCAGCTCAAAGACATTCAAGATAATACGTATCACTGTAAAGCTGAGCAAATATTCAACTTGTCCGTTTTCTGAGTAATAGTGAGTGGCTCACAGAGAGGTGGACAGAAACCATTAATTTCCCGGCAACTTACATCTTTCACAACAGTTTTGTTTGACAGAAAAGCTTGACACTCCCAAGACACTCCCTGTGCAGTATTTCAGAGGAATACCCCTACAAATTCCTAGGAACTGAATTCCTATATTATCTGTGTTTATGAAATATGAGGCTCTATCCAAAACAGACCAAAGACTATTTAATTAAAGTGATTGCAAATGCTGATTTTTTGCAGACTTTGCTCTGGTTCACTTTTAACACAAAAGTCAGTCAGACCAGTCAGGAGTGCCATTAAGAAACAGGCAATCACAAATTTTATTGTTTTGGTGCTAGCTACAAATGTGAAAGTCATTAACTTAAAGTAATAAACTAAAGACAAATTAACCTTGAGTCCAGCAGAACTCCTAACATTGTATCCATAATGCCATTTCATATGCCACATCTCTATCACACAACATTCTGCAAAACGGCTTCAGATTACTTACCAGTCAGTGATACTTATATAAGAATTTCACAAAATGTATAAATTGAATACCTGAAACAGTAATGTGTAAACACCACACTACTATGTTTCAGGTGTTTTTTTAATCCTGTTACATCCTTTGACTGTTTCTGTTTTGCAGCTAAAGGAACTGCAACTATCAATTAACAAAAACTTTTCCAGCTGATATTCACTTATCATATTGTCAATATCATACATTTTATATACAGTGTTTATAGAAAGTATACACACCCTTTCCAAACTAAGACATTTTGTGGCCTAACAGCCTGAAATCAAGACAAATTAAATCAAAATGTATTTGACCTTTATTTACATATAGCAACACACAACCTCCAAGTCAAAAAGAAATGTTCAAACAATCTGAAAGTCAAATCACAGTCAAGACCATCATTAAGAACTGGAAGGCTTATGGCACCACCATACCTTGCCTAGATCCTTCCAAAATGGATGACCAAACAAGGAGGAGAATAATTCTGGTTAATAATGATAATGATAAAGTCACTTTTTAACTGGTAAACTGTATTCAAGAGGACAATGAATAAGTTTTCTTACAATGCGATCTAGTCCAGATGTGATGAATGCTGATTGCATTTTAAAGGGAAAAATGTTCCTGTAAAACAAACACTGAAAATGTAAACATAACATTGTAAGTAATACTGCACAAGGTAAATATTTTAAAGGAGACATGCTGAAACACTATTCAGAAATGTTTAAGTGTACAGTTCCAGCTAACCACTGGTAACCCTTAGCACTAGAGCTGTGAGCAGCTGTGAAACCTGCTAAGAAATGAAAACTCATTTTCATCAGCTATGAAAACATTCCAGTAGTTTTAAAAATGAACAGATTTGATCGACGAAAAGAAAATCCCCTGGGTTGGGCAGAGGTGAAACTGGTCTCAGCGGCAGGGTGAGAGACTTTTTCCAATATTCCATAAAAATTGAAAATGACCCTAAAAACTTGTGACGGGAGAGAGAAGTGGATGGTCACTCACTTCCAGTTTCTTCTCGCGCTCGGTGAGGATGTCCTTCTGGTTGTGGATGTACTCGGTCAGCATGCGGGCCAGCTGCCGGCGGTCCTCCAGCTCGGCCGCCAGCCGCCCGTTATACTCGGCCAGCAGGAGGCAGGCTTCGTCCACCGTCTTCGACAGCTTCTCCGCCGCCTCCTTGTCTGGGGACAGGCACAAAACACTTCAGCAAGGGGGGGAAATCACACGCAGTTCTACAAGGAATGCAGAAGTCCTCAGCCAAAGGTCACAACAAAACATCAGCTTCTCCGCTAGCAGCTTGCTTTAGCACGGGTGTCTGAAGTAGCCTGTCAAACCAACCCTTGACTGCACAAGCAGATTTCTTGGTGACACAGCTCTCACCAGAAACTGACACAGCATCCTGTTTAAATAATAATAATAATTGCTTACACCTATATAGCGCTTTTCTGGACACTCCACTCAAAGCGCTTTACAAGTAATGGGGATCCCCTCCACCACCACACCAGTGGGCAGCCCCACCTGGATGAAACGACGGCAGCCATAGTGTGCCAGAACACTCACCACACATCAGCTATCAGTGGGGAGAAGAGCAGAGTAATGAAGCCAACTCACAGAGGGGGATTATTAGGGGCAATGATTAGTAAGGGCCAATGGGACATTTTGGCCAGGATGCCGGGGTTACACCCCTGCTCTTTTCGAAAAACACCCTGGGATTTTTAATGACCACAGAGAGTCAGGCCCTCGGTTTTACGTCTCATCCGAAGGACGGTGCCTGTTTACAGTATAGTGTCCCTGTCATTAGGGACCCACATGGACCGCAGGGTGAGCGACCCCCCTGCTGGCCCCACTTACACCTTTTCCAGTATCAACCTTAGTTTTTCCCAGGAGGTCTCCCATCCAGGTACTGACCAGGCTCACACCTGCTCAGCTTCAGTGGATTGCCAGTTGTGAGTTGCAGGGTGATATGGCTGCGTCAAGCAGCTTTTAAGGGATTATACAATCTCATCACCCTTTCAGGAACCACAAGCCCGTCCAAAGGAAAGATCTTCTGTGCGTGTTCCTCCTTCCACATGTTTAGCTTTCTCTATTGTTTGTATAGTAGTATCATGTGAATAGAACAACACTTCAGTACCTTTAACTGCACCTGCTAAGAGCAAAACTTGCTTCAGCTATTGCCTCATTTCTCTTAATATTACACAAGATCGACTCATTCAGGACTTATGACAATTCATCCTTGGCAAACCCATCCAATCTTTCCTCTCCCTGTACTAAAGCCAGCACTTTCTGCCTCACTTGACACTTATGGTTGATAAACAGCAGCATGATAGAGGGGATGGGAAAGGGAAACTGTTGCAACTAGCTATACTGTGTAAAAGCAAATTCACAACTGTGTACAAAAGTAATGGGACTGTGCAACAAAACAACAGTGCAAGGGAAGGTCTAACTGCATACTAAAATCAGGAAGCATCACCAGGAAATAATAACGGAAACAAACAGAGCTCTGTAAAAGACACAAAGGGCATTTCTTTGTTAAAATAGCATAATATTTTAATGCACACATTTATTTCCTCTGCAGCCTCACCTGTAATCTTCTCGAGCAGAGACACATCCTGCACCTCCTGTGGCAGCGACGCAATCTTCTGGCGGACAGCTGCATCCCCAGAGGCCGCGTTCTCCAGGTCCTGCAGGGCCTTGATCAGCTCCTCTGTCTGTGCAGGAAGACAGGGGAATCAGCAGCCAGTACGGACTGAGAAAATGCATCATATTACTTATGGGGGGTTAAAAAGATCTTATTGCAGATTTAATATCAACACCTCTAGCCAATAGATTTGCTAGTGATATTTTCTGGTAATCTAGACCTGGAGTCCCAATGCTGGTCCTTGAGTCCCACATTTCTGCTGGTTTTTGTTCCATCTGATCTCTCAGCTGTACAGTTATCTTAATTAATAGGACTAATTTGAACTGTTTTATCGTTTTCAGTGCTTAAACATGTTAAAACTTGCATTTGAGCTGTTAAGTGCCTTGGGGGCAAACCTGTTGTGAAAGGCGCTATATAAAATAAATTGAATTGAATTGAAAATTGAAGCCGCATGAAACACCAAACTTCACAGTATGTTGGAGTCAAGTAACTTTCTAGAGCAGCTAATGTTTCAGTTAAGTAATTAAACTCTGGAAAGCTAGAATGAAAACCACCAGGTGCGTGGGCCTTCTGAACCAGGACTGGGAACCTCTGCTCTACACAGAAACCTTTCACTCAGCTCCAGAATCGATGCCTGCTGGACCCTTGGCTGACACCTGGTGGTGAAATTGGCAAAGAGACCATGAGATTCTGACGTAAAAAGCAAAAATTAGTACCAGCAGTGGCCCTGCAGTGTCATTGTCCTGTGGAGAGTAATGGCCTCTGTAATCATCGTCTTCCTCCTCTTCTTCCTCCTGGATTTTCTGATAAGTGCGCTTTGTGGCTTTTCTCTCCTCTACTGCAGACACAGATAGCACAAAGAAAGCAGACTGAAGCCGAGCCAGCACTCTGAGCTCAACTTACAAAATTTTCAGGATATATAGTCAACTCAAACACAGAATGATACTTATTTCCTTATAAACCATTCTTCTGTCAAAATAATAAGTCTTGTCAAATGCTACTTAATTCATAAACAAGTAGCTTTTTTAAGATTAAACTTTTCAACATGTCTCTAATGCAATGTCTAAATGTAGGAGGTTTAAGACAATGTATATAAACAGTAATATTCAAAATGATCCCCTACTTTGCCCTAACACCCGCTAATTGGAAAATTTTGTAGAGTAGGATGTTTAAAACCCTAAAAGTTTAAACACCTTCTGTGTTGCACTTTGATTAATATATTTCACTTTAACTGCTACTGAAGTGTAGCAAACAGTGGCAGACATAAGTAATAACCAAATAAAAAAAGAGCAATAGTGCAAAACAAATACTGAGAATTAGAGAGGGAAGGGGACACTGGGATGCCTGAACAGAAGTCACCTCTCATCCACCTCTGGGCTTCATCCTGCATTCTGGGCAGAAGCCTTACGCTAAACAAGACTCTTAAGAAGACAGGTTCTGCACTATGAATTTGTTTAAGTGTGAAAATGACACCGATTTAAGTGCATTTGAAGCACGGAACAGCAGCTCCAACCACGTGATTGAGTTAGTCTTATTAGGAAAAAGCCACCTTGAGCCCAGTACATCCGTTTTAAGTATCGGGTTAGACAACACAGACAGTGTGTTTCCCTACCTTCTTCAACCTTCTTCCGGTTTTGGTTGCGCTGGCTGTTTACTGCCTGTACTGCTGATACACAAACAGGATGACAGGGGAGGGGTGGGGGAGTCAGTGATATTTTGTATTCTATTGTATTTTCTACTTTCGAATCACTTCAGAACATGTCAGTGCAATTCAAAGTATTCAAAATCAGAACTACTGCACCTTCAATTTTGAAGGCTACAGTTGAAACGGTTACATCTTCTATCTGTTTTATCCAATATGGAGTTGTAGGAGAGTCAGAGAGTCATCCTGACAAGCCATGAGCGCAAGGCAGAATACAGTTGGAACTTAAGTCCACTTCTAGTTGCATTCATTTTTTCCAATTCATTTTATACCATCCCATAGAAGCAATTACTAATCATCTCAGCACATCACTATGCCCTCTTGTGACAGCATCTGGATAACTTACGACAGTGCAGTTTCTTCCAGTATGTTAGAGACTTCAACAATTTAGCACAGAGTGCATCCCACGGTGCACTGCAGTAGTTAGCATTGATCAGTGCTGGTATCACTGGCTACACTGCAAGCTCACACACCACAAGCACACTCAAGGGCTGCCGTTGCACAGTAAACCGAATATCCTGGCTAGATTACGTACACCCAAAAACAACAGCAACTGACCCCGTGGGTGCTGCTGTTAATTTGACTTTTATTCAAATCAATCTGACATTTGAGCTCATTTGAATAGCAGGGCACTTAACTGAAGCAAATCAGAGTCAAGTACCTTGGGAAAGGGTGCAACAACAGTGGATTTGAACCCACACACCTCCAGTTTTGAATCCAGAGCCCTGAACACTACTCCACACTGCTGCCTCAAAGCTGCTGTTTGTCGAATCATGGACACAGTTGTCTAATGACATTAATGTGGCTCTTTAACAAAAGATGTGCATTTAGCGGATATGCAGATTAAACGATCTGAAGCAATAAGCATCTAATTACAGTATTTCTATTAAGATGTTAAATCATGAATCACTGAAAATTCTGGTCGAGTAAAAATCAAATTATTTTAGCAGTCCATTTGGAAATAGCACCCTTGCCACCTGGCAGTGATGCCTTTGTATAGTTAAGTAATTTTAGCAGCTATTCTTTATTTAAAACATTAACTTATCCAACTTATCCAAATTAAAGACACCGTAAAATTATTTGTGAAGAAAAGGCAGTCCCCTTATTTCTACCCAGTGCACATAACTGTGCAGTTCAGCAAACAAATAGGATCTTTACTGATACGGTGCTTGAGTGCTGGGAGATAAAAGGTTAATTATCTGCTACAGTGAGGGAAAATCCTTGCAAAAGAAAATCACTTAACTAAACATTACAAAACATCAACACTTACAAGAACAATATTAGCAAATGTTTAGTATTTTGGTAATAGCTCTTAGAAAACCCTGTTATATTATCCCCTTGACTCCTAGCTGCACAATCATCAGCCATCACCATATACCCACAGGCTATGAACAGGCTTTTCACAGTAACAGAGCAATGAGACATCTTTCAATCACGTCTTGCGGTTTCATATGCTTTATATCTTAGATAGATTTGGTGTATGTGGTTATCGGTATTAATAACCTAAATAACTAAATCTGCCCAGTTTCTGTTCAACACAAGTGTTAACAAGAACAAGTGTTCTGGTCAGTTGTTAATGGTATTCTCAGTAGGATGATACCAAAAAGATACTGATGGCCAAACAGTTTTTAAGCAAAATAAGTTAGGATTGTGAATCACATAACACTTTCACCACCAAAGAACAAGAAAATGGCAGTCATCTTAGTTCATATGGGTACCCCAGTTTAAGTTATGTTCATCCTGACAGTCCCAGAAATATCTCTATCAAGTCTGGAATCAATTAGGAATACAGTTTTAGGTAGAAAGGTCAGCACAAATAGCAGCATTTCTTAGAATGGCTTAAAAACTGTCATAGGTCTAAAAATTATAACCACAAAAAAATCATAACTGCCACTTCACTTCAATTAGAGCAGTGGTTCATAAGGAGATTGTAAAGGGGTTTTGAAAGATGCAGGTCAGGCTGTCATCTTGGTTGACATAGGCCACGTATCTTGTTTTAATTGCTTATGTATCATCCACCACTGAAATTCATTACCCCCTGGATCACATCCTGCACTACTGTTTCATTCACACCAGGTCAGGAGGAGAAGGTGGGAAAATTGTACACCTGCCTAGAATGAAGCTTTTCAAATACAAGCTGTTGCAGTAGCAAGCAGAAAAAACGCCTTATAACTTGAATAAGCTTCCGCTGTTTGGAAGCCTAAAAGTAAAAAGGGGCTCAGTTCAGTGGAACAGGACATGCAATGCAGCTAATAAACTAGGAATTAAAAACTATTCATTAAGAAAACTGAACCCATTGTTAAAAAGTAAACATGAACTTATGTAAATTACTTTAAATAACCACTATATGATATACATTTACTAAAAGCATAAAAGCCTAAGCACTTTTAAAAGCACATTTCTGTCGTGCAATCACCCGGGACAAGGCCGAGGTGTGCAAAGGGCAGTGGTGGCAATCGAGAGTAAAAGTTGGTTCTGACCTGTGAGAGGACCTGGCTGGGACTGCTGTGCTCGTCTGGCTCCGGCCTGCTTACCCTGAGCTTTGTGTTTCGGGCTGTTGGAGTCCTCGATGGCCAGCTTGAGCTGCTGGATGAAGTCGGCACCGTACACACTGCGCTCCTGCCAGATGTTGAGCAGCCGTTCCAGGTGCTTCTTACAGCCATCGTCTGCTTCTCTGTGAGAGAGAGGAAAGGATCAGGCACAGCCGTCGGCGTCCCAAAGAGACCAGTGCCTGATATTGCAATGGTTGCAAAAGTACAGAGTCCCTGTCCTTGGTTAACACATTTGAATTGGAGCAACTGACACTTAGATGACACAAAAATATCATACATTTTCTGCTTCATCTTCTAGAAGCACAATTTGGTTATTGTTAAAACCAATCGGAAGCCAACCTGGAGGACAGATATAGCTACTGCACACACAGGCACATTGGAAAAAACAGCTGACTAGAAAGAGCTGAAACAGGGTACTTACCAATCCTGTCCCTCTAATTTGACATGCTGCTGCAAGACAACAATTTTCCCCAACAGACTCATATCATATGAACTGTATAACTATGTTTATGATATGTGTACCTCCCTTCTTGCTCAAAGCACAGGCAGGGCTTTACCTGCAATTATCCATGATGATGTTTAATACTTTGATAACATTATTGTGAAAAGAAGAATCAAACCAAATGTCCAAGAGTCCTGCATTTGTATTTGTCACTTACGCAGACATACAGAAAATACTGCAGAACCTCAGGAGGAGAAGGATACCTACAGTTTTCCCAGAATGTCAAGAATGCATTCATACCAACCCCAATATTAATGACCGATTAAAAAGGGCTGCTTTGCTAAATTCCTTCGTATTAGCACAGAAAGAGGGCCTGTGCTAGAACGTCTTGCATACCTTGCAACATGGGAGCAGGCGTCGACAAGGACAGTCTCAAATTCGCGCGTGAACTCAGGTCCTTTCCTCTTGCTGTTCTGGATAACATCATTAGCCAGATAGAGGAAGGTCAGCTTTCTGCTACTTTTGGCTGCAAATCAGAGGAGAAATATAGGTCATCTTAAAATGCATTAATTTCACAAGACAAAACAAAGTGAGGAAACAGAAAAACATTTTAACGTAATCCAATTTTATGGACAAAAAGATTACAATCACTGTCCATCTGTGCAAGAAAAATGGGTGCGCAGAATTTGTCTTACTATTCAACCTGAAAAACTGCTGCACACTATCCTCCCATAATGCTTCACAGAAAGCTTTTCACCATATATTTTCACTAAGGGGTTGCTGCTTTGAGTTGGGAAGGTAAAAGGAATGTTAAAAGACAGATGAAATTGGCTAAATTAAGGTATCAAGTTAAAGATGAGGGTGAAATGAGCAAAGGTAATTCATACTCTGCATGGCAGTGTATCAAGTCAATGGTGGAAAGTCATAGGAAGGAAAGCAGGGGCATTAGTACAGATGGAAATTCAGATACTAGCTTTGTGATGAACTGAATCAATTTTATATATTTGGTTTGATGTACACGATTTTACTAGTGAACTCAATGTTCATAGCAGCAGATCGTGTTATTACATTGATCATTTTAAGGTTTATAAATTGTTAAGGAGAGGAAGAGTCCAGGTCCTGTTTCTGTTGGGGGTAGAGTACTGAAAAGGAGAGACCTCTGGGGCATTTTTCCTTCATTTTCCAATTGTCATTAAACCAGCAATCTGGAATCTGGAAAGAATTAGCTGTGGTCTCAGTTGCAAAAGTCAAATCTTCTATTTCACTCAATTATAGACCAGTAGGCCTCACCTCACTGGTGACTGCAACTAAGATATTGTTTAATTTTGGTCTTGATTTTAATCTTGTCAGCTGGGTTACAGATTTCCTTACAGAAAACTCAGAGGGTAAGAGTCAACGATGCTCTGTCTAACAAGCTGTATTCTTCCACTGTCTTTCCCCAAGGATGTGTATTGTCTCTCTTACTCTTTGCTCTGTATACAAATGACTGTAAGAGTTATAACCACTCAGGACACACAATTACATTTGTGGATGACTCTTATTGTTAGTTTCAATGAGAGGAGAATCAGTGGAAAAGATTGATAAATGTAAGTATTTGGGGACTGCTCTGGACTGCAAGTTCAATTTAGTGGCAAATGTTGACTCATTTTCCAAAAGGGCAACAGTGTCTATTTTTTAAGCAAGCTTAAGCGTTTTAGGGGTAATAATTTGTAATTGACAATGTTTTATCAGTTTTTTGTAGAACCTTCTTTATGGAATCTGAATCAGGGGACAAACTATGGGAGTATTGTTAAACTATGTCCGAAAGTCTCTGTCACTGATCTTTCAGCCCTATGTCACTTCTATTAATTATGAAAAGCATATTCCATACTAGAGGACTTCAGAAAATAGACAGATTTTCCAGTTTAAAAACAAACAGGTTTAAGTTCTCATCCATACATAAGCTATGTCCTTGCTCAGGAGATGCTGTTCATGTTTATGTGAATTGTGCGGTTTCTTTACATTGTCTTCTGCTGTAAAATAAATTACCCTTTGGGGATAATAAAGACTCTATATATACACAATATAAATCACAACATAAACCATTCTCAGGTATTTGCATACATATTTACATATTAGCCATCACAGACAGGGTTTTTCAGCAGGAGTAAAGAGAGCACACATGAGATAGGCTTTAAAGAAAGGTGAAAATCACTTTAATTTTTAAAAAAGAAATGTGTTGTGCTTTGTCCTTAACTTGCACTCATTCTATGCACATAGAAAATATTTTCTAGTTTACACTTCCTATTCCCTATACAGACACTGAAGACATCCCAAAACCATGTTGAAAATACAAACAGGAAAGCAAGTGGAGGACATAATTCAGTGTAACACCACAACGCTTTGCATTTGCCAAACAGGAGGGAGAATTCAACATTGCTTCTGTCCTTATGCAACAAGCACGTTGCCTGAGTGAAAGCTTGGCATGCAGTCCAGTGCTCCCCTCAATCTAAAAAAATAGTCAACCAGAGAGATACAAAAAGGTTTTTGTATTCAAATATTCGGACTCATTGCCGAGGGTGTTAGAATGAGATGATTAACACTCCACTAGAGAAGATTAATTGATCTGTATACTGAGAAAACCTGTAAAAGAAAATCACGTGTCCTTGATCTCTCTTTTAACATTCTTATACACGGACCTTTGTTTTTTTTTTACATCTACTAATATATTGGAATATTCTCACAACGACACGTTACTGTATATATTTCTAACACCTCTGAATAACTCAATTTGGTTCTGAGTGTCCAATATACAACCCCTCACAAACGACAAACTTTACTTAGGCTGTACAGATCTTCAGGAGGATTCGTAAAACTAGGTATGAAATTAACACAACCAGCCTATTTGTTCCACGTAAAACAACTCCTCAGTTTAGATCGGGAGACAGCAGAGTTTCAGTTTTGCCCAACTGCGTCACAATTTCTTCATCTGACTCAGAAAATCAAAGACCCTGACCGTTACTTCTGATGCGCAATTCAATGTTTGGAGCAGCTCCTCGGTTAACTCTTTCGACACCCGTGGACTGCGGAGGACTGGCAATATGTCAGCTGTGTATTTGGTTTAAGCGGGGTTGAAACGCGCACACATATAGCAGATGCCCGCCACACACAGCAATAACACGGCGCCTCGATATGTGACGAATGTGGCTTTCCCGTACCTTTCTTCATCTCCCGGTGCCAGACGCGCACGATGAGCGGCGAGTGCTTTCGGTGGTGGATTATCCACAGTGACAGGGTCTGCACGCTCTGCTGCGAGTTACTCAGCTCCGACAACTTCTTCTCCAGGGCGGACTCGGAGAAAGACGACATCTCTTCTCTCCAGAACCTGGTACTCCCTTTTCGGCCGTTTTGGTCTTACTTTATTATCCGGCTGCACGAGAGTGCACTGGCATCAGTATCCGGGAAGAGGCATTAAGAACTAGCCGCAGTCCCGACACTCGGGAAAGCAAAATTCCCCGTGTAGCCCAAGTCAAACTGTTGCTATTAGTTTGCTTTTTTTTCCTAAAACTCCAACTGAAATTACCCACTCACCCCCCCCGCATGAACTCAACTGACAAACTGTTACAGCGTTACTTTCCTGTCCTTTACCATCCAAAATAGTAACTGCCTTGATCGGACAATCGACAGACTTAAAAAGTGGAAACAGCTAAAAGCCAATACTTTTCATAAATTACTACTGTTACTAAATACACTATACATGCATCCAGACTTGTTTTTCCCTCTTATCTTGCTTCAGCAACTCTTTCCCCGACTCAACGAAAGCTTTACGGGTTCTAGCCTATAGTGCAATTTAGAAAACAAATTAGAAAATGACCCCCCGAACTCAGAACTTCGTTTCGGCTTCAGCAAAATTTCCAGTAACAAACCATTATCAATAGGCTAAGGATTCCCCCCTTTCTTACTGTCTCCCCAAGTATAACGCGACAGTTGCTTAACTCTAGCAATATTCCTGTATAGTAAAAACAAACACCTGAATCTGTTGCCAACAAGATGGCCGTGTGACCTTTTACCCAGAGTTCATAGAGCAAACACACACGTGGTAAAAGAGAAACTAGCCACATTACAGGTTTGGTTTAAACAAAATATGACTTGCTCAATATTACTGACTGGGGCAGTAAGCACAACTGACACTGACCAATAAAGATCCTTGAAGTTGGCAATTTTAGCTTTCATTATAGCGATTGTGTCACAAGAAAATACCATCTAAGTGTAGTGCAACGTCAAAAAACTATTTCATATTATTATTAGCTTTGCATTATTGAAAGTGCACAGAAAAGAAAACAGAAGCTATGTCACAATATTTGCTCAGGAGATATACGTTTACACATCCTTCACCTGAGCTGTGACATACGGTATTCTACAGAGGCTAGGTGTCGCAGAGAAATGACGTATCTGCAGCAGGACCATGCTCTGGCTGGCTCTTTGCTGTCGTGTTGTGGTCTGTGGAGAAATGTTAGTTAAAACAGGTAAGAAGAAGGCAATGTTTATTTATTGGAGAAAAACAGTTATCTTGCACTAGTTTAGAGAACAAAAACAGACAGAATATGAATATGCATAGCTATACAGTTAGTACTGGCTCTTATGCAAGTGGTCTGTTTTTTAACTTAAAATACATCTCCTGTTTATTTTCCTAGGAAAGGTGTATGTAACGTTGCTTTTTTATTAAGTACCAAGTATATTTTCAAATTCTGTTTTTATTTTTGGTTTTAGATCTTTCTTTACGTTGTATTTTTATACGATGTAAAACAATTGTTTTACCGTGAAGTACTGAGCATCTATATATCCTACCACGACGTAATTTATTACAATATTCTGTTCTACAAAAATGTAATAGTCTAACTTAATAGGTTTGGATCATTTAGAATACAACGTAAGACCACACAGGCAGCCATTAAAGGAGACACTTTATGTAGGAAAAGGGGATTCGGTGAACGAAAGGATACCGATAAGACTACCGAGCACTTCTTGTGTTTACTGGCTATCACCACCAGGGGGGCAGATGAACTGGGACATTCAGGGATGAAAAGTACGGAAGCGCATTGCTGCCACCAAGGGAAAAAAATCGCCCCCTTATCCCGTAATTACGAGAAAATTATCTCGTAATTACGATATATTAATTCTCGCGTACTTCATGTGATCACGCGATATTACATTTGTCATACAATACCTATATCGCTACGTGTGCGGGGTCCGGACTTGCAGTTTTAAGCAGTGGAACTGATTACACGTATACCTGTTCACAACGGAGCCATCGTTGATTTTCTCTCTTAATCCCACAAAACTGATCCTCGTGCTTATAATGATTCTGTTCATATGTGCTAAAAATTGCAAGATTTTATTATGATTAAACCCCGGTCGAAAGTAAATCCGTACAAATTCTGCAGGGCGGGACATTGTCACAATTAATAAACCGAAAGTACCAGACAAGTTCACGGTAGCTTCAGCATGCGTTCAATGCACAATGTAACAGGATGTACGGACACTGAAGTAATTATTGCTATCTCGTAATTACGAGATAAGAGGGGCGATTTTTTTCCCTTGGTGGCAGCAATGCGCTTCTGTAGAAAAATACTATATAAAGCAATATTTACTTTTTCTTGAATTGTATTTTATATACAGATGCGAGATCTCTCACTTACCTGCATAAGGAGAACATAGGTTTACAAACTGCAGGACGTTTCCAAGGAAAAAAAAATTATAAACCCAAAAGACCACGGATTTGGTTGTGCCATGATAATATGCAACTGAAGCTAAAATAAACATACTTCAAAGCATGATGTGACTTGGCTAGCATCCATGGAGCAAGACAATTAAGTTGCAGATCTTGAGTTCAAGACAGAAGCTGCTTCTTGGAGCTTCCATTGTTTTTGGAAACGGACCTGGATAAACTTACGTCACTCTGGAATCAGGCTTGTTAGAGCGCACTTGCTGTTGGACCCTGCTGCACATGTGCAGGTTTACAGCACCGGCTGAATCCTCTTTCTGTCCACAGGTTGCTCTCGCTGAGCTGGAGGATTGTGCCCGCGGATGGCTCTGATCGATGACCCCAAGGCGGCCTTTGCCGCTCTGCGGCCCGTGTGTGTGCCTCTGATGCGGGAGCAGACAGTGGGGAACGTGGAGCGGCTCCGCGGGCAGCTGCGAGGGGTGAGCGATGCGGCCCTGCAGCAGCTGCAGGAGTATGTCCTCTTCCCCCTGCGCTTCATCCTCAAGTCTCCCGGCTCCAAGAAGGAGAGCTTGATCCATGCCGTAGTGGAGTGCGTTGGCTACGTCCTGGCCAACACGTGTGTGCAGAGCTGGGACTTACTCCGGGCCGTCTTCTCAGAGCTCTGCCTCTGCCTGTGTTCTCCGACGAACCCTGGCAAGCCGGCTCCCGTATCCGAAGAGCTTAAAATGGCTGTCCTCAAAAGCCTGGACGCCCTGCTGCACGCCGCCTACGGAGACATCTTCCTACAGCTCTATCAGCCAGCCATGCTGCCTGGTGTGGGACTTGCCATCTCCCTGCTGCTCGAACTGGGAGAGCGAGAGAAGGCCAGGAATGTCCAGGCAGCTGCGCTGAAGTGTCTGCAGGTTCTGCTCCTGCAGTGTGACTGCCCTGAGGGACACGTGTCGATGACTCAGGATGAGAAACGGATCCTGGGTAGCACCTTTGCCTCTTTTCTACCGGGAATCACTGTTAGCTTGTCTAGAGTTGTTACTGGAGATGTCAAGCAAGGTCATGCAGTGACAGTAAGTGCAATGAGGATCTGGTACAAGACTGTAGGCCTGGTCATGGCTGATGACCAATTCTCTAGGACAAATGACATAGAGAAACCAGCAGTGGAGCTGGGGAGGGCTGCAGAGTTGGTGGTGCAGGTAAACGAGGAATGGGCCAAGGACACTTCAGCAAAACTGGCAATCCTCCTGAAGAAAATTATTGCATGTACTTCTGCTCATCAGCACTGGAAAGTAAGACTGGAGCTGGCAGAGTTTGCAAACCATCTCCTTTCTAGCTGCCATAGCTACCTGGGGGACTGTATTGGACTACTTCTGGAGGCTCTGGTGGGTCTGGTGAATGATGACAACACAACAGTCCAGGAAAGGTGTAATGAAGCCTTACATGGGATAGCCCAGCGGAACCTGACTGAGCAGAACCGGACACTCACAGATGTTCTGTCAGAGAACCTGCACTCGCTTGCCACTGTTCTTCCTCGCCTGATGAGGACATCAGATGATCGTCACAAGATCTTCACTTTGAATGTTTTCTTGGGGTACCTGAAGATGCTTGGGCCTCGGGTGAGAGTGGTGCTGAACTCGGCAGCTCACCTCCAGCGTGTCTCAAAAGCTCTGATGCAGGTTCTGGAACTGGATGTGACCGATGTCCACATTGTGGAGGGGAGGAGCTCTCAGGATGTGGAAGAACTAGAATCCAGGCCCTACGAAACCCAGACTCAGAGAAAATACTTCCAGTGCTTCACAGATGTAAAGATATTCACCTTGCTTCGGCAAATTTGCAGGTCGCTTGGTTACTATGGAGATCTCTATCTGTTGGTGGACCATTTCATAGACCTCTACAGGGAATCTTCTATCTACAGAAAGCAAGCTGCCTTAGTTCTCAATGAAGTCATTGCAGGAGCTGCTGGCATAGATATGGAAGAGATTCAAAAGCAGAATCTAACAAACCAGGAAGATGTAAAAGCAGCAGTGACGTCTATCATTGAGGAATACATCAGCCCAAGCAACTGGTATTTAGCTACCAATAAAGAGGAGTCTCAGAAAGGGGAGAATAACCTCTTTGGTCAGTCTCACATGCTATCCATTACAAATGAAGCACAAGGGGACTGTCTTCAGTTCTCATCTGTGAACAAAGTCTTGACTGTTCATCAAATGAACAGCAACATCTGGCAGATCTGCATCCAGCTGGAAGGGATAGGATGTTTTGCTGTCGCTATGGGGATCGAATTTCGTTTGCTCCTCTTGACAACCTTATACCCTGTTCTGGAAAAGGCTGGGGATGCAACACTGCTGATCAGCCAGTCAGCTCTGGGTGCGATGAGGGATTTCTGCAGTGCCTGTAGGTATGACTCCTTAAAGGACCTCATCAGTGAAAACTCAGACTACCTGGTCAATGATATCTCTCTGAACCTACAGAGGCTGAGCCAGCACCCCCATGCCACCTGTGTCCTTAGTGTAATATTTAGCCACTCAGACATCAACCTGCTGCCATTGGTGGAGGACATCATTCAGGATGTGTTGATGGCCTTGGATTACAGCTACAATGAAAGGGCATTGATGTTCTGCACGGTACTGCTTTCACTTATGAAGGCTATAGGTAAGGTGTAACACTGCAGTCATTGTTACTCTCTTTGAATGGGTTTCATGTGATACATGTCATTGTCTTCAGGGATTCTAATTGAAAAGGAGGCCAAGGTGCATGACTAAACAAAATGCAGTGTTGGAGTTGGGGGGAATTTCCCTAGATCTGGTATTTTAGACTGCTCTTGCAACCACCATCCCCTTAGGCAGGGGTTCCCAATCCTGGTCCTAGAGGATTGTTAGTTAAAAGGCTACCTCCAGTAGGTTTTAAAAAGGAAAGCAATCTCACAGTTCAAATTAATCCTGTTTTTACAAATTCAGTGGTGTAATTGGCTGGAACAGGTGTGTGGGTTTCCAGGACCAGGACTGGGAACCCCTGCTCTAGGGTATAAAACAATTTATAAGTCAGCGGCCAAGTCCAGCAGATGTAGGAAAAATAGATGGCTGTCTAGTATGCCAAAAATGGGAGATGAAAGGTTTATAGGTATACAGTAGACTGATTACCATGAAACTGCTCCAATGCTATACTGGAAATTGTTCACTGACCTGCAAGGAAGTGACACTAATTCTCTGTCAAGTCAGCAGCCAGCAGTCATATCACTCTGCAGCTCACAACTGGCAACCCACTGAAGCTCAGCAGGTGTGAGCCTGGTCAGTTCCTGGATGTGAAACCTCCTGGGAGAAACTAAGGTTGCTGCTGGAAGAGGTGTTAGTGGGGCCAGCAGGGGGCGCTCACCCTGCGGTCCATGTGGGTCCTAATGCCCCAATATAATGACGGAGACACTATACTGTAAACAGCTGTCCTTCGGATAAGACGTAAAACCAAGGTCCTGACTCTCTTAGGTCATTAAAAATCCCAGGGTGTTTCTCGAAAAGAATAGGGGTGTAACCCTGGCGTCCTGGCCAAATTTCTCATTGGCCTTTACCAATCATGGCCTCCTAATAATCCCCATTTATCAGTTAGCTTCATCACTGTTCTACTCCCCGCTGATAACTGATGTGTGGTGAGTGTACTGGTGCACTATGGCTGCCGTCGCATCATCCAGGTGGATGCCGCACATTGGTGGTGGTGGAGGGGAGTCCCCATTACCTGTAAAGCGCTTTGAGTGGAGTGTCCGGAAAAGCTCTATATAAGTGCAAGCAATTATTATTATTATTAAGACAGAGGGGATCTATCAGATCTAACAGTTTGTCTCTGATCCATGAATGAATAACAAGGATTTATCTATAAATAATTAAATTGATACAAAAAAGGTTGTATGCAATGAGCAAAACAGGATAGGATTTCTTTAACATTTTACCTTAAAACACAAGGCAAAATAGGAGTGCAGAAGTATCACCAGCTGTAGTCCTCCTGACAACAGGAGATTGGGAGCAGCTCATAACACACAGCGCTAGTGCTACTGTTGGTGACCAGTACCGATTAATGGCCACCACAGAGCACAACATGGCGTAGTTGCTGAGTGACCAGTACTATAGTCCTAAAACACTCCCAGACAAAATTATAGAATTAAAATGTCAATAAATTTCAGTTGGTTATTCTGTAGTGACAGTTCTTGGTTTACACTGCAGTTGAAGAATTTATTCATAGAAGGAGAGTAGGGAAGCTTGTATATTCTTCACACACTGGAGCTTTCTGTGTATGTTGTAAGTTCTATTCTGACATAATAATAATGATTATTTGACAAGCATTAAGTTAAAGGTTCAAAATGTTTTAAGTAGGTATTTTTATTGTTGTGACAGCCAATATTAAATGACTTCTAGTGGGTGTTTTGTGATAGTGGCTCAGTAATGCAGTTGTGAGCATTATTCCCTCGCTACGCTGGGGCCCAGGGTTCAATTCTGTACCTGTGGTGCTGTCTGCCTGGAGTTTCTATCTCCTGTTTGCATGGGCTTCCTCCAGGTGCTCCAGTTTCTTCCCATACTGGTAGATTAATTTGCTTCTGGGAAGATGGGCCCTGTTGTGTGTGTCTGTGTGTGTGCCTTGTGATGACTGGCATCCCATCCAGGGTGTGTCCTGCCTTGTGCCCATTCCTTGCCAGGATAGGCTCTGGCTCCGCTGCAACCCTGAATTGAATAAAGCGATTAAAAAAAAAGATGGTTGGTTATTTTGCATTACTGTGGATTGGTACCATTCTAGTAGAATTCAGTAAAAGGTATATTTAGCTCAATTGTTTTGAATGTTTGTTCTTGAATCAGAGCGCATACGCTGTTGTATTATTTTGGCTGTAGTCTATGAAGCACCCAACAAAATAAATTAAAACATACCATGTTAAAAAAAGCAAGTTTGATTAAGTTTTTACTTCTAGAAACATATGTTCATAGAAGAAAGCTTTTATATTGGAAGTATTTTTTATTTAATTCTTAATTAAAATGTTGATTCTTTGATGGTAAATTTCTCTTTTGCAACTGGTCAGTTGTATGTTTCCAGTGTAAAGCTTTGTTCTGGTTTCAGTGGATGACAATATTTTTAGGTTTTCTTCATGGTAGCATTTATTCCAGTTGTCCTTTATGTGCCAGGCTGGAGGGAAGAAAGGCAGCGTTGCGCTGGATCAGAAGTTAGTCCTGTAAAACCGCAATAATAACTTCTGTTTCGTCTTACTGATCAAGGCCACGTTGACACTTGTGTTTTTGAGAACAGCGAGGTGGTTCCCAGCCAAGGGAGAGGGAGAACACACTGGACCAGCCAGCGAGAAGGAGGCAGCAGACCGGAACGATGTGTTTGATGCGAGGCAGTTTCTGCTGGACTACCGCAGGCAGAAGGAGCTGGCAGAAGGCAACGCTGGGGAAGAGGAGGCGGATATGGAAGATAAAGGTTGGGGCTTTTGAGGAGCACAGCATGTAGGAGACAGGTGGCCTTTGTGCTGCTGAAATAGACCCTCTCACTGAGACTTATCACAGTTACACCGTCCAGTGTACAACTGCTCCTGTCGTTTGAATGAAAAAAGGAGGTCTGGTCCGTCATCTTCTTTAATGTGTTTTGGATCGCCCTGATTTCCAGAACCAGCGCCACCAGCCCCCGAGCCAGAGGTGGATCTGGAGCCTGATGGGAAAGCTGTTCTTCCGCCCCACATTGCCATAGCCAAGGAAGTGATGGAGAGGTGCATCCACTTGCTGTCGGACCCCAGCCTGCAGCTCAGGCTCAAGGTGAAAGAACAGATCTGGGCACGGCCTCCAGGAAGGGCCTTGAGCAGATCGTACCTAACATAATATACTCAACACCAGAGCTGCCTGGCAGAAGAGTAAGCTTTGTTCACTATTGGTGCTTGCGTAAGAGGAAGCCTTGCTCCCCCATTTCTAGTGCAAAATATATATTTAAACTAAGAGAAGTTAGTGTTCTTGTTTCACTATCATTTTCAGCCCCTTTTCTCTACCAGTGGAATGTCCACAGCTGAGCATCTGTTCGCCGGGGTTTAGGAGTGGCTCAGAGCTGTATTGTCTTCAGGGAGCCCCGAGACAGAAGCAACGCGTTAGGACGTGATCACCAGAAAGGTCACGGCAGCCAAGTTTGAAAGCGCTTTAGAATGTCACATTTTCACGGGTAGGGATATAGTTTTGTCACAGTGGGAAATAAGTATCAAGGCACCCTTGACTGAAAATAGCAAATTTCATTTATTTGTCATGGCAACCGAGTCAAACTGGCAAATCTAGAATTACAAGATTCCCTCTGTAGACAACAGAAATGAGTGGGCTTTAGCTGCAAGTGTTCACTGACTTGTGACAGGAACCCGAGTGGCTCTGACTTGGTTCGTATGTTCCAGTGTCCTTTCCTGTCTTGCGGGTTTCATAAGCACACTGTTTCTTCATTGGCAGCAATGTAGTCTTAAATCCCTGCACACAATACCTCCTGTTTTCACAGCAGGAAGCCCACGTGCACTGTCACTGTGACAGAATCACGACTATATCTCTTTTTGTGAAAAAAAACAATGGATGGGACTGGACACACCTCCACCAGTCTCAGTGACACACAGGGGGCGTTGCACTGTAAGATGAGAGGTCTCGTTCGGCTGCAGGTCCTGGACGTGCTGGAGCTGAGCGTCGGCGTGCTGCGGAGCCGGGAGCAGGAGCTGCTGCCCATGGCCCACCGCGTCTGGCCGCCCCTCCTGCGCCGGCTGACCGGCGACGACCCGCTGGCTGTGTTGCGGGCCTTCAAGGTGAGGGCCCTCCCGTCCCCCAGGGCACGCTGGGAGGGCAGAGCGCAAGAGCAGTGCGCCTCCACTTCCCTCTGGGTTCCTTCTGTGTCCACTGCTTTTATAGTGTCTGCTGTTTTTATTCGGAAGTTTGTATTTTAATCAATGAACAGATGACTAATTAAAATTTTCTTCTTGGGGAGTAATTCCATAATAGAAAGTGCCAACTTGCTCCATCTTCTAATTTGTGTCTTTTAGAAAACTAGAATAAGATTGGATGCCACCTCAACTCACCTTATTTTTTTGTACTTCACATGTTCATATTTTTATTCTTTAATACCTCCTCAATATCCACAAGCTTATTTAGAAGCAGAGAGAAGCACCTTGCTTTTAATGATGTTAACTCTCTTTTCAAACTTTCTCTTTTTTCTTTCTCGGTCTGTTGTCACGACAGTCCTGTTTTTATGCTCACGTTTGCTGGTATTCGCCTTTGTGTGTGTGCTCCTCTAGGTGCTGTGCACACTGGGAGAGAGCTGTGGAGATTTTCTAAGGAGCAGAGTGTCCAGAGAGGTGCTGCCACAAGTCACAGGCTCCCTGGTGAAGCAGGCCCCAGTAAGCGCCAAAGCTGGGCCCATCTACACCCACACCTTGGCCTACAAACTGCAGCTGGCCGTGCTGGAGGGTCTGGGGGCCCTGTGTCTCCGGCTGGATCTAGGTAACTCAGCAGATACTGTGAAGAGTACCAGGACTCCAAAAGTACCATGGGATTTAGGGAATCATTATAGCACACTTTATGAGAAACAAACAAGAATTCTAAGCTTCATACTTTTGAACATTTACATTTCTGCTCATAACACCAACATTTTGATCTGAAGAGGACTTCTCATTTGCTTATTTAACTCATCTTAAATGTAATATCTTAACAATTTTCATAGTCTTTTTATAAAGTCCAATTTTGATCATTGTTTCTTTTCAATGACTAAAAAGATTGATCTTTCACACTCTGACTGAGGGTGGCAGTTTTAGTTTTACAATTCTCACTCACACACAGAAAACAGATAATTGAACTCTGAACAGACAAAGGAAACAGGTTTTCAAAGTCAGCTTTAAAGTAAACAAATTTAAAAGCTGGGTTTTTTTTGCAAAGCCAAAATAGAAATGGCGAAAAGTACCAAGCTTAAAGATACAGATAAACCAAGCACAATGTTTAAAGTAATGATTTAGTCACCATGAGCTTCACCGTTTAAGGCCTTGCTCCTGCATAGACTAGTTGTGTGTCTCATGCAAGAGTTACTGGTGTCCTGTCCTTTGGATTATAAGTATTTTGACTATAAGTGTCTCAATAGGGGAGGCTTTGAATCAAGGGGTCTGCTTGATGTATTACTCATTTTGTGAAAGACTGAAAAACTGAGCTCTTGCAGATTTTGTAACTCCTACATTATCAGTAAAAAAAACTTTACTTCACAAAACAAATATATGTTTTAAGGGAGAGGTATGTCTGATTATCTCATTGGCCTTCAAATTGTAAAACAAACCTGAAGAACAAGCTTCAGTCCTTTAGCATCCATTTCTGCACCTTTTTGTATACTGAATCCTTTGAAAAGGGCAGCAGACCACATTGGCTGTGATAGTTGAGAGAAATTATTTCAAAAATTAACCACTAGATGTCAGTGTGGGGTTGTAAAATGATTCTGCATCACTCAAATCTTGGCAGTGGCATTGCCTTCCTTCAAAAGGGATAGATCATGGTTATATTTGACAAAGCAGAAGTTACTGTTTACAGGAGATTTTCCAAAGGCTCCCATTGCCTTTCAAGACTTTTTTGTCTAAAAAAAAAAAATCAATTTCAATAAACAAGGAAACTTTTTCTTAAAAGAACACGCTTCTCAAAATCCCCCTCTAGGTTTTAATTGAATAGGTTGGAGCTGAGACAGAAACGCTGCAGTCTGTAAACATGCTGTCTTACTTTACCGTAGGGAGTTCTCTCTGGAACAGTCAGAATGCAATTACAGTCAGCATTATGAAAGCTCGCAATGCAATAACTCTTTGATTTAGCTTTTGCCTAAAAGCTGTGTGGAGCTTCTCCCTTGTTGATTCTCTAAGTCTATTGTTTCTGCTCTGAAATCACCAAGGGAAGTGTGTGTGTGGGGGGGTTTGCATGAACATTAAATGTACTTTTTATTGTTATTCTTTTACTTGGGATATTCTGAGACTGCAGGTGGATGCTGATGCTGTGAGGTTCATCCGGTAGGTTGGGTCACATGCATGGAGAACTGTTCTCTGGTTGTATAATGCAGTCGAAATGGGGATGGATTTTTTACTTGCTTCTTCGATGAAACAAATATCATTTTACATCTGTGCCACTAGGTCCCAGTTTCACCAAACTGTTGCTGGAATACACATAAATTTGAAATACAGTGTTGGAGCTGAGCATCATATAATGCCATTGGCACACAGTGAGGCAAACGGCCTGTTCCCTAATGTCACTCTGATTTTTAATTCATACCAGTCCTCTGCTATCCACAGACGATAGAGCTCTGTAGATACACTGATAAGTACAGGCTGTATTGCAAAGGAGCAGGTAAAGGTTTATTCCGTGCTGAAAGGAAACGAAAAGAGACACAACATTTTGGCTGTGGAGCCTTCTTCAGGCTGTATTGTATGCGGTTTGATATCATTTTTGTTTTGCTTGAAGAACAGAAATGTGGAATACACAGTAGAAAAAACAGAAGTATCCATTGCTAGCATGTTGAGATTACTAGAGATGTTGCAGGGGAAATGTGTAGCTATTTTCGGGGGGGTAATCATAAGTCTGATTGACAAAGGGCTAATAAGCTAGCAGACAACTGCTCTCTCCGTTTGACAGGAAGGAGGGCAGGCTGAATATGGACAAAAATAAAACTGAAATCAAATTATTCACCATCTCTTTCTGTATTGGAAAGAAGGGAGGGTGAGAAGATTGAATTCAGTTTCCCTCAGCTGCTTTCCCAATCCTGGCTTACCTGTGTCCGCTGCTCTGTAGGGGATGCTGACCTGGCTGCTGTTTGTGAAGCCTGCCTGCCCTACCTCAGCTGCAGACAGCCTCCCAAGCTGCAAGAAGCCTGCCTCAGGTGAGGCCACACACAACTATACCACTTATATCACTTATATTTAACAACTATATCACTTATCTTTTTGGTTTTTATCAGAAAAAGGAGTTTTCCCATGTGTATGTGAAATCTTATTATAGGGTGAGCCTGTTTGGCTCATTTAGCCTGGAGCGAGTGATTAGTACAACAACCTGGAGACTGCAGGTTCAGACCTAGACTATGTTTGTAAGAACCATGCATAATGACAGTACTGTAACCCTTTGACTGAGTTGGAGAGAGTTACAGCATTTATCTACTGGATACTGACATACCAGCCGGAGCAGTGTCCACACCCAGCCTACACATTGAGTTCCTCCACGTCCCATACCAGGGGTCCCTAGCACGTTTGACTCGTTTGGAATTTTTAGTGTGAAACATCCACCCTTTTTCGATTATGCGTTTCTCAGTGAATACAGGGATGTTCCTGAAGTCTTCCTTACCTGGGCCATCTGGAAAAGGACACGCCCACTGTACCGTCTGTTCCCACATGTATGATGTCCCGTTTCAATCCTGCTTAACAACCTGCACTTGATAACAGCTGTTTCAAACGATTCGATATGCTTTTCCATACGCACCTCACATTGTCTTTATTTCCACAGTGTGTTTCGGCATCTAATCCAGATCGACCCAGATGCCTTGTGGTTCGCTCTGAACGAGCTCCACTGTCCCCACGTGTACGAGCCCGAGTACCCAGAGCTGCATGCCGTGAGGCTAACCGGCATGGGCAGACCGAGGAACGAATTCACGGACAACATTGTCAAACTACTGGCTCAGATGCAGTGACTGCGGAGAGGGGAGGATTCACCTATGAAAGAAGCTGCCTACCCTAGGGAATTTTCCGCTGCTTGCGCTGTTCCGCTGGTGGCTGGCGCAGTTATTCTTAAGTGTATGTAGTTTGGCAGTGAAGGGAAGAGGGATCTGGAAAAGAAGAGGCTGGTCTCTCTGTAGGTGCATTAAAACAGAATTCAAACTTGCACAGGCACTGAAAGACAGAGCTTTGAGGCTGATGTCCCTTTTTTGGATGAAGGTGGCCAGACCCAGAGTGTTTCTTAATTAATAATGCCAAAGGGGGTTTGATAATTGTGCTGCCTGAAACCGTAATTGGATTTTTCAAATACTCTATAAATTATTTAGATGACCAGCACTGCGCTGCATAATACCAGCGCCTGGGGAATAACAGGCTTCAGTGCAGCAATTAAAGCCGTTTTGGTTGACACCGCAGTTAAAATCCCACCTGGAGAGAAACCTCGAACAGTTCTGTCCTGGCAGGGAGAAGGGGGAGCTCCTGCAGGAGAGAAGCTGTGCACAAGCAGGCCAAAGACTCTGTCCTAATCACACTCCCTGAGCTGTTCCTTCTGGCATTCGGAAGTGAAATTTTTGTTCCTGTTTTAAAAAAAGCCACAGGAGCCAAGAGTTCTTGTCATGTCACCGAACAGTGCTATGCTAAATAAAAGCAGGTAGACTTCAAAGAAGTCTTGTCCTGTAATGTCCATCCCAGGTCACTTGAAGCTGTATGTTTTTCTGATTTATGTGTTCTCTAATTTGACTTTTTTCACCATCTGTTTTTGATTAAGTTTTGATATAAACATTTTGATAGATTTAAATCCTGGTACATTGAACAATAAACCATATTGGTTAATTGTTTTATTATACTTCTAGGTTTAAGCCTCAGATATTGTAAGAATGACAATGAAAGTGTAAATTAGTTTTTTCTCTATTAGTTTTTGACAGTGTTGATACTGTAATGATCTCTAATCTAAGTAAACACGCTTTCAACTCCTGTATAACAACCACTTGTTCAAGCTGTAAAGAACCTATTCATTTGCTGATCTTCACAAAGCTGTCATTGGCACAGACCTTGACTTTTAATTGCAATCAAATCTCATCCTTGATTCTCAGTGTAGAGAATGATGCTGTGATTGTGACTTTGCTGTCCAAGGTTATTTCTTTTCATGTGAAGAACGCACATCAAAGCAGTGTTTACCAGTTTCCTTTGTGTAATTTTCTGCAGTTGTTTTGATTGAGTGTTTGAGCAGATGGGCTGAAAGGCATTCAGTATTTCAGCGTTTTCTGACACTGTTTCTTTGCAGTCAAACTGAAATTCTGAAAATGAAAAGCAAAAGACATCTTCTAAAGCTAGTGAAGGACTAAAAATATGGCAGATTTGTGCGATGCTAAGGGGTGATTTTGATTTCTTTTTCATTTTATGTGAAACAAATTGACTTTTTTTGGTTTTCCCCTTTGATTTTCCCCTTTGAGTGCACCATGAGGCTTGTAGTGTCATTTTAAGCCTCTTCTACCCATTCTGTCTATTTCCTGAACCTCAAGCCCCCTGCTTGTGGGGTCATTCATCTCTCACAGTCTCACAGCACCAGAAATGAAGCCTGAAGTCTTTAGCTCCTGTTTACAGGCTGTCGGTGCGCCAGACAAACAAACTGTATTTAAACTGTATTATTTGGCATATATTTTATAGTAATTCAAAATAACCTTCCTCCTTAGAGTTTAGGAATGTAGGTGATAAGTAGAATTTAATCCAATATTTTCTTAGGTTTGTGCACTGTGAACCTAGAGGGTGTGCATTTTGCTGGAAAATATTTTTAAAATAATACCAACTCAAGCATCAATAGAGGTATTTTCCCATTATGTCAGTCTAAAATGAATGGTACATTAAACTCCTTCAGTTTCAAAGAAATTGAGAGATACAATTTGCTAGCAGACATGTCGCCCTGCAACTCACAACTGGCTGCCCACTGAAGCTGAGCAGGTGTGAGCCTGGTCAGTACCTGGATGAGAGACGACCTGGGAAAAACTAAGGCTGCTGCTGGAAGAGGGGGAAGGGGCCAGCATGGGGCGCTCACCCTGCGGTCCATGTGGGTCATAATGCCCCAGTATCATGATGGGGACACTATACTGTAAAAAGGCACTGTCCTTTGGATGAGACGTAAAACCGAGGTCCTGACTCTCTGTGGTCATTAAAAATCCCAGGGTGTTTCTCAAAAAGAATAGGGGTGTAACCCAGGTGTCCTGCCCAAATTTCCCAATGACCCTTGCCAATCATGGCCTCTTAATAATCCCCATCTATGAATTGGCTTCATCACTCTGCTCTCCTCCCCACTGAGAGCCGATGTGTGGTGAGTGTTCTGGTGCACTATGGTTGTTGTTGCATCATCCAGGTGGGGCTGCACACTGGTGGTGGTGGAGGGGATCCCCATTACCACTTTGAGTGGGGTGACCAGAAAAGCGCTATATAAGTTTAAGCAATTATTATTATATAACAGCATGGGTTTTTTTTGTTTGTTTTTTTTGTCGCTGCCTGTTCTTCCCAGACCATTTCTGAAATGTCAGACACAGTGAGCCATGCTGGCCTTTTTATCGATACAATTCTTCTTCTTACAGAGAACTGGCATGCCTAATTTCAAAGGGCAATAGGCAGCTATTTTTAAGGCATCTTGGTTCTGCTGATAACATTGTGCAGATAATCCGTCACCAGCAGAGGGAATAGTTTCAGTACAGCGGCTGGAGAATCCTCACAGTTGCAGTGTGTAGCACACTCGGCAATAAACTCTTTTTTGTTTCCCTTTCATGGGTAGAAGTTGTCATTAGCTTAAGGGCATAATTAATTCCTTTTATAGTGACATTTCTGTGGCAGAGCGTTTTGTCTGACACCGCCGTGCAGAGGTAACCGGACTTCGGAAGTCGTACGAGGCCGCTGGAAGAATCGCTGACAATAACGGATGCGGCTGCTGGGCAGATCCAAAGAGCAGGGCCACGTGTTTTCTCCGCGCACAGCATGTAGTTTATCTCTCCCGTACTTTATTACTTATTGTGCTGCCAGTACTGACAGCCTAGCTGTTATTTATCTGCCACCGAAGCCCGGCAAAAGACGCATGCTGTAATGGGATTTCCTTCCAAATCACATTCAATATGCGGGAGGTTTATTATGCTAAATTTCAAGTGAATGTGACAAAAGCATTGTTTGGCAGATTAAACCGTATTTGACGTACACAATACCAAAAATGAAGAAACATCTTTAACAGCTTTCCAAGACGAAGAGCCTCTTCACTCTCGGGGAAGGAGAATTCCGACTGAACGGGTCTGCTGTTGGGAGCTCGTAGGGTTGCCCTTGTGCGACTGGGATAACCGCCACCTCAGAAAAGGAAAGGGCTTCCAGGCTAAAAATGATTTTATTGACTTTACAAAAGAGCTCCAGCCAAATAATTTCTGCTTAATGTTTGGAAGCCACTGGCTTAAGGGGACAGTATTTAGCAAACCGAGAGAATCAGACACCCTCTTGCTTAGACAGTAGACCATTACAAGTTAACCCAGCAGAAACAATAGTTCCCATTTACTTAGCAAGTTGGAGCAATCAGGGTGAAGTGTGGTAGTGATGGTGGGAGGAAGGGTCATATCCAGGACCCTCTAATTATTGGTCCCCATCCTCAGCCACTGGTCTCTGTTGCCCACTTCTTTTCCATTCTTAATCCAGTATGTGACCTGAGGGATCCCTCTAACCAGTTCTTCTGGTTTTCATCTTTGTGAAACGATCAGTGACTTAATTGATCCAATAATTGGCTTAAGTGTTCGATATTAGCGATATAGTCGCTAAGAATCGGGACCACCGTGTGGTCTAATTCTCCCCAATAATGCGCCTAAGGAAGCTAGTAGAAAGTACTACATTTAAGTTACTTGTAATACATAACCATTTAAACTCCTTCATATTTACTGTCACATGATAATACCTAACTAAAGACACTCACTTTCTTAAAAAATATTAAAATGTCAATTTTTTGCAGTCCTATGCATTATATTTTTTATATGGTCTCCATAAATATTTCTGCAGTTGGCTCATTCTTTTTGCAGGTGCTGTATGTACAGAAACCTATACAGTATGTAGCTTGAGGTATATATAGAATAAAATAAAACTTTTTTCAAATTTAAGGACTTTTACAGGAAGTTTATATTATGAATGCAAAGCAGACGGAGAAAGGAATTACCAGTGTCTGACCCACCACGGTATTCAAGAGAGAGATGAACTTCAGTTACTGCCATCTGTAATGACCCAGAAGAGCCTGTATCTCCATCAGATTAATGTACATATTAATAAGGCAAATGTGTTCTGAATTCTAACTCTCGCATACTCCACAGCACAGCCTGCAGAATGTACTGTAACAAGAGTGGAGGGGAGCTGAAAAAAGTGAAGGGTTCTGTGTCAAAAATGAAGATCCAAGGAATATCAGGGTGTTATTACAGAATAAAGCTACAGGCTAGTTGTATTCAGGCCACGATCATCCATCCATTTTTAAGATGCTTCGTCCAGTGATTGGGGGGAGCTGGAACCTATCTCGGTAAGCAACAGGCCGAAGGCAGGGTACATCATCACAGGGCACACAGACACCAGGGCCCATTTTTTCACAGAATCCAATTAACTTTCCCGTATATCCTGTTTCGTTTTACACCGCTGGGACGCCAGAGCACCCATGTGAACAAGGGAAGACCATAAAAACTCCACACAAACAGCACCCCAGGAATTGAAACCAGAATGAAATTATGCACAAAAGATAACCTCTTCTGAGATATTGTACCTGAAAAAGTATCCCTTCTTCATTTGGCTGTTTTCTGCTGAATTCACCTGAGCACATCTGTGTATCAACAGTGAAACAAGAGCCAGAGGACACAAGTGGAAACTAAGGTGCAGTGCATTTAAAGTTGAGATTAGGAGGCACATCTTTACATAAAGGGTGGTGGGAGTCTGGACCAAGCTGTCCAGCCATGTTCTCAAAACTGATGCCCAGGTTTCTTTCTAGCAATGGCTTGAAATAGTTTCAATAAATCAACAAGAAAAATGGGTTGAATCCTCTACAATCTAACCTTTGTTAATATTCTTATATTTTACACTACGACCATGGCAGGAGGTTTGACCATAAACCTTTGTTTATAAATAACACAGCTATGAGAGAGTCATTGAACAACTAATACTACAGGCATAACTAGAAAATTAAAAACTGCACATAGCAGTTTTGTTGTAACCAGAAAATGCTTTGTCTTCTCATTTTGTTTTCAGCTTTTTTATGCAGAATTTTTAAGTTGGCAGATAGGTAGTAACAGAACTTGTGTAATACAGGTCAATTGAATGTACATTTTTCTCACAAGTCACAGAATACAAACCTTAAGATGCAAGAATGACTGCACATTTTGGAAAAACAGCTTGGCCAAATATTGTCTAATCTCAGCTTTATAAGCAGACGCAAATGTTTTTTTGATATCTTAGGCATGCAGTGTCATGGAAAGCAGTCAACTCCAGGTGTACGATTCATGTAAGATCCATTTAATGTGTTAAAGGCATAAGTTTCGGGTGAGACCAACATCCTAAAGTAATTTTTGAAAAGGTACAACATTTTTTTTTACAGTAATTTCTTACAAAACATCAAAAGCAAAAAATAAAATAAAAAAGGAGAAACCTCCAAACAATCCTTTTACAAGCTCAATAAATAGTTTGTCCATAGGAAAGCGAAAACATTAAAATACTGTATATATTTTCTTACATATGTTTGATTTTTTTATTTAATTCTTAAGGACCAATGAAAAAATGTGCCATTTAAAAAGTGAGAAATCTCCTCTCTGTGCAGACACTGAGTCGCCCCTTCCATTGACTACAGAATTGACAATTTGGCCTCACCCCTGCGCATTATAAAAACATGGAATATGTAAAAACCATGGCCCGCTCCAGAGCACTGAGGAATGCAAAGTGATTGAATCCGAAATCATCATGCCTACTCCTTAATGCCGTCTCCTACAACAAATCCCAAATGTCCAGGTGTCCTGCCTCTCCCACAGATGAACGACAAACATTCCTATAAAGAAATTTAACATGCACTCCTTTTTATACAATTTACACAGAAGATTGGTTGCCGGGCAGTGGGATGGGGTGGGTGGGGAGGGGGATACGCAGTTTGGGGGCACTATGGGATACAGCTGTCAGTGCAGTCATTGTCGCTGTCTGCCGATCGCTTCTTCAGTTCCCGGCCCCCTTTGTGGTGGCTGTGAGGGGGGCCGTGCTTGCCGAGCTCTGAGGGGTGACTGCCCGGCTTCGTGTCCTGGGAGTGAGGGCCGCCTCTGAGGTGGTGCGGTCCCAGGTTCCTCTCGGGCTCCACCTGCAGGTAGGCGCGGACCTTGTGGTGCCTGGCCTTGCTGTCGCTGAAGTCAATCACCCGGCACTCGTACGTGCCCTCGTCTGAGGGCTTCACGCTGGACAGGCGCAGCTTGTGTGAGATGTTGCTTCCAGCCACCTTCACCACCTGGATTCAGGGAGCCAACGGGAGAAACCATTATGGCCCTTTTAGTTTGGTACAACTGCGCCAATGAGAAACAAAAAAAAATTGCATTTTTAACAGAAGTTCAGCAGGGAGATTAGAGACTAATCTTGCACACTTCAGCTCGCCTACATACACAAGTCTCACTCCCAGGTCTTTCCTTCTCTTATCTCTCTTGCATCATCCTATCTATACCCTTGCAGCAAACTCCTTCACTCAATCCTTGCAATAGTTATGGTTGGGGTAGCTTATCCTCTCAGACAGGCTTCCATTCCCTCAGCTAGGCAAGCCACAGGAAATACTTAATACATACAGCATGTCATCCTGCTGTCGCATTCCTTAGAACCTAAATATCATGGTAAAGGGTGTTATTAATAGCAGGTACGTAGGCTTGCAAGGCAAGGTTAGTCAACATCTGCTTTTGAGAAATGTGTTCACCAGTGTTGACAACTATCGCTTGTTGAAAGTTTAAGATCTGGAACCCGAGACTCGCACTGCAGTTCAAGAGTGGTGAGAGTTGGAGTGTGGAGATGGTCCGAAGTAGAAGAGAAAGAGCCTATGCAAGTTCAGTCATAACGATTTGGTTTGCACTAAGATACATGTCTATGTATGTTTTACTACCTAAGTCTCCTCCGGGCTTTCACGACACAGCCAGGCTTTGTTTATTTCACCAGGAATCTCTGAAACCACACAGACTGGATGCCCAGAAATCTCTTGTTTACGCGAAAGCCACTGGATTGCTCACGGATCTCTTTGACAAGCCTCTTTTGTGTCTGTTTTTATCTGACATTCACTACACTTCCACAGAGCTGAGTCTTGTCCCACCTACTGTACATTTTGACTAACGATTGTAAGAGCAAACAAGCATGTAGACATCTCATTAAGTCTGCTGATTTTACTAAATGGTGTGAGGAGTTCTCCTTTAAATGAAATCTTTTGAAAACAAAAGGAACTTGTCATTGATTTTAGGAAGAATGCAGCACTCCTCCAACCTACTGTAATTACTGTAACTGTTGAAATTGTCAATGACTACAAGTATTAGGGACTGGACTCAGACAAAAACCTAAGATGGTACAAATGTTGTGACCATTCATAAAAAAGGCCAACAGAGACATTTTCAGCTATTTTGAGGTCGACAGAACTAGTAACACTTTTTTGTCCATGTTTTTAAAGTGTCTTAACATACTTTTTCCACTTGTTAATTTGGCAACATCAGTATCGTTAATTGTAATAGGTTGGAGGAAAACACAGTAAGCAGTGGCAAATCAAATCATTTTAAATATCCTCTACAAAAGGGGTTGAAAAGAAGGCCAAGGACATTATGGAGTTTGTGTCTCATCCCCTCCATTTTGAAATTACACTACTCATATAGGAGATGCCTCTGTCTCCATGTGTAACAGTAACAGATATTGCAGCAAGGACAAAAGATTTCCTGAGCCTATCAAACAATATAAAGTAACTCTCTTATCTCCTGTAACATTATTGCACTGTTTTCTCTGTATGCAAATTGTTTGTCTTCCTTATTTTGTTGTATTGGACTGTGCCATAAACACATTTCCCCCAGAGGATAATAAAGCTTGAACTGAATTGAACTAAATTGAAATCTAGATTTATTGTTAAAACATTTAATTAGACAATACTGAGCCTCCATGCTTTGGTTTTTAATGATGCTGCACACATTGTCAAAAAAGCATAGACCTGCTTCTCAACTGGAATTCATTAACTGTGAGATAAAAAAATCCTCTTAATTAAACTGACAAGAGGAACGCTGAGTGTTTGCAAAGGCATTTTTTGTGTTTTGGTTTTCATGTAGGTGCAGTTAACACCCCAGAAAATGCAAGTGTTCCCAGAAGGTCTATACAGTATACAGGATCCTACACCATATACTAGAAGGTACACACCAATACCATACACAGGACAGGTAAATATCAATTACTGCACCAATACAGAAGTGCTTGTGAAGTTTGAACTGCAGATTTCAGTACTCCTGATTATGAGTCTGCCAGCAACTCTTGGGTCTTATCCAAGGAAGACTGAGAGGAAAATGCTGTTCTGTCTCTGCTTATCTGCTTCTCTCAGGGAAGGTCAGGTGTAGCTTGTTCATCCTCACACTGTCAGGCTGACCCAGGTGTAAACACAGAAGACATGTAGACACTGTACATAGGCAGAGTCATGCAACTGTGAAATAAACATTCCTGTATGAAAAACTGCAGTCTTCCTGTTTTTAGATTATGGATTTCTTTTGCTTTGCCTCTGATGTTTATGTTATATGATAATATATATTGTTGTATATATAGCATTTATGGTATGTCCCAAAATGTGTACACATTTTCAACACATTGTTCCTATTGCATGTGAAAATGTCTATCCCCTATGTAGCACATGCTGTCACAGCTCATACACAGGGATTTATCTGAGTTGATAGCCTGGAATTAGGTCACTTTAACAGGCTCTTCATACAAACCAAGTCCTGGTACACCTATCTATCAAGCAGCTAGAAAACACAAAGAATGACTTCTAGAAGGTAGTTTTAATGTTGTCACAGCTTAAGAGGAAAAGCGTTTTGAAAGAGAAAAGGACTCTAATGAAACACCATCCTTCCTCGAGCATTATTAAGCAGTCTTTGAAACATGCATCAGAACTGTGTTGTCAATAAACCTTCTCGTGTTAAAGACTAATTAAGCATGCTTGCAGACAGGCACTCATTAAATTCAACTAACATTTGAAGACTAGGCTCAGCAGGTACTTCTTCTGCTGATTTGATGAAGAACTGGGGTTCTCAGTGATCTTTAATTTGAACTTTCCTCAGCATTTTCTTTGGGAACTCCATTTTTTAGCTGTCACAAGAACCATGCAGAGCTCTTAAGAGACATGATTTGCTAACTTTGCTAAATCCCACATTCTCTCCAAACACAGGAAGCAGAGTTACATACAGGGTGGAGCAAAAGATTTGGGAAACGGACTCCTGGTGAAATAAATCTAGCCTGGCTCTCTTCAGCTACTAAAATACTATGCATGTTGTTATTTATTTGATGATAAAGCTAGATACATGTAGACAAATATAGTAGGTGACATGATGTTGTGGTGATTGAGTTCAGTCTGACATTCGTTTTAAAATTTGGGTAGCTGTTAGATAACGAACCAGCCTGGTTAAATTTAAAGCCCATCATGAGACGTGTTATCACATTGTTACTGTATAGCTCAAGTGGTGTTCATTCCCAGATCAAATCTGAGCATACATCCTATGAAACCAGACACTAGATTTTACTTTTCCTCAGATAAAATATTCCAACACAAATCATGTGTAAACTGGAAAAAAAAAACACTAGATCTTCAGCAGACTATATACTTCCGTACTTTCAGTTTCAGGATAAAACTATCACTCTGCGCCTTGCCAATGGACATGAGTAACTGTTAGCCCTTTAAGCAGAGGAGACCAGATGGCCCAGTGCTCACTGGGACTGTCTGAGACTGGGCCAAATCAGATGAGAGATTCACATCCTGAACAAACGACACTTAAGAAGAAAAAGTATAATTGCAAGTCTGCAGTGTCAAATTATAGATCCGAAGACATGTACAGTACTGGTGACAGAGACCTGGGATTTTGAAAAGACTTCAGAAAGAAAAAGCCATTTAATTGAAGATGGGATAATTTTAGCTCATCTCATCTGATAGTGTTTACTGCTACTAACTACACATAATGGCTCTCCCACACCACAGTCCAGCTTGGCTAAAAATTAGTAGCTGGCTTGAGGACATGCATTAGGGCTGCTCTGCTTCCTCTGCAAAGAGATTCTGGGCACATGAAACAGTGCTGCTTGAATAAAGACTTGGAAACAAATGATCACCTGTAGCCAGCAGCCAAGGATTCTTGGCACCAGAAGAATAATTACAGGACTGTACACAGAAATGAGTAGTGCCATACTTTCTTTTTAAATGCAAAATGTGATGATTTTCATCTCCTAACCAGATTACTAAATAAAATTAGTATTGAACAATTGGCTCCAGTTAAGTGCATGTGCAGAAGGGTGCTGATGATATTGTGACTGTTCTGTTAATGCCTTCTTCTCTGGCAGCACACCCGGTTGATACTGAAACAGCGTGCAGCATGACGTCCACCTCATCGTGAGAGAACAGCAAATAGCGAAGCTCCCGAAGCCAACTTCAAATCTGTTTTATCTACTTTAAAGCACTGAACTACACAGCACAGTAGGATTTTGCCTTAGATAGGGCTAAATACCCAATGGGTTAGAACCTATAAAATAGAGTTGTGATATTTGGAATATTGCATTTCTTATTGGTGACCAGAACAATCACAAAGACGTACAGAGTTACAAAAGGATGGATGAGTGAAAAATATTATACAAGGCAGTTGTTCCAAGCTCTAGACATTGAAAATAGTTCTGGAATCTGTTGAACTTCAATATTCCTTCTACTTGCTAATTATAAAAAACAAAAAAGAGTTTATATGGGTTCCCACAGATAGCTTGTTTGACTGCGCACTGCAGTAAAGCTGATGTATTGGCTTCTGTCCTAGTTCCCACCCTGCAAACCAAACTCAGCAATGTAGTGAGTCTTCACTCTAGTAGAAATGACTATGGTTGCAGATTTATGTAAAATTGTATATTTTGGATAGGAGTTCCCATTCTCTGGTCACAATCTAAAACTCCTCCCAATACATAGGACCCCATTTACAGTACAGAGTAATAAAATCAATAATAAAAACTTAAACAGACTAAAACTAAAATTTACTGAGGTATAGCAGGGAGCAGAGTGAAGTGTGTCATTGGCAAAAGAGTGGAGATCCAACTGAATGATACAATTTTGGCAGAACAACATGAAAATGACAAAAATACACATTACTCTGGTAATGTGTCATTATAGCAAGGCCGACCTTAGTCAAGACCTTGGAAAGGGGGCCCCTCATGATCATGATCTTTGATTGGAGTGTCAAGAAAAGCGCTATATAAGTGGAAGCAATTCAAAATTATTATTATTTGTGCATTATCAGCTCCCAACACAACCTTATTTTACCATTGAGAACAATTAAATAAATGAATGATATAACTAGAAAACTTATATATCAGCTTTGAAGAATGCATAATAAAGAAGTTAAAATAAGAACACAAGGCTCACACTTGACAAAGATAACTTATGCTAACATTAAAAGTAATAAAAAGAGCATTAATAACAATAAATAATGATAATGATAAATAAAAACTTCAAAATTATTGCTAATCATAACTTAATAAGGACTACACTGAAACCTTTGTAGAAAGGAATTGCAGAAATAAATGTGAAATTAATTAAATAAAAAAAGAACTGCACTCAATAACATGGGAGATGAGATAAGTAAGGCTGAGGAGATCAGAAAGTTGTATAAAAAAAGTTCTATAAATCAATTTGCCTGTATTTTCGACCTCAGGTACATTGTAAGCAACTTGAGTTGTGAATAGCTCCTCACTGCTCCTGCCACTGTCACTTGGAGAGTAACTGCAATCTGAACAGCTACAGGTTGAGTTCACAATACCACCGTTCAATAAAATACAGGAGAAACCACAATAAATCCACAATACAGGGGAAATCGCTTTAATGTCAATTACAAATAATTGCTGAACACTATTTTGTACTGTTCAATTGCTTTCATGCTTTTGTTTGGCCGGAAAGCACTCATTTTTAACCAGGTGACCCACACGGCATGTGTACAATTACAGGAAATGAGAATCTGTTAACGTCTAGTAAAGACACCTCAAGTAGGCTGCGTGTCTAGCCTGAAAATGTCATGTGTAGCGTTCGTTAGTTGCATTGATCTGTCCAAATGAAATGCAAATTACATTATTATGCATATTACAGTGACTTGATTTGGCGTACCTCCGTTTTGTGTTCTTTTCTGCTCTTCAGAAAAATATTACGTACTCGATTATAATTGGTCACTTTTTGACTGAAAGGAATTTTTCACTCACATTTGAACGTGCCGATTAAAAATATGTTGTGTTGCACATTCAAGGGAGTCCCTGGCGGTCTTGAGGCCCTAGGCAGTTCCCTAGTTCGCTTACACCTCGGGCCCTGTATGATCGGAAAGCCTTAAAGCGGTTTAAATTATTTTCTCAATAAATCAGGATGGAGAGACTGAAAAGGATAAGTACCTGTGTTTTTGTGCTCAGAGAAGAGTAGAAATTTAGGTCACTCTCTGCTGCACTGAAGGAGCCCTGACAAGTCATTGACAAGACAGACTGGGTCCAATGGCCCACCCATATTCTAGTCATTACCACAGCTACACTGTCCCTCTGAGCCATGACCAGCCATGAACTTCCAAGAGCAGTTCAATGTTCAGGAGAAGGTTGAACCATAGTCTCACCCTCTTCCGCCTATTTGCACATACTGTAAATATCACACTTCCTGCTGCCTTGCCTGCACCCTATCTCCTCTCCTTGCAGAAGCTCTCTGGCTCTCTGGATTTGTAATCAAAACGGAGGCTGCTGATAGCCATGTCCTTACAGATGGAGTCTTGATCTCCTCAGGTAGGTGAGTTACTCCAATAATGCTCATTATTCAAATCACACCTCTTCTCCAACTTAATTAGCATTTGATCAAACTACAGTCACATGATTATTATTGATTATAAACAACGGAAGGAAGCACTTCTTTAGATTTCTTTAGGTTTCAGAAAGAAAGCAAACTCACACTTATTTTGGTTGCATCTTTTGATATCTCCTCTTGGGGTGTAACCTGGGTTGAAAGGAAAGAAAAAACAAATCAGCTATTCAAAGTAGAAAATTGGGACAGAGGAAGAATTACATTGCTATTCCTGAGATACTGTATGTGTATGTGCATTCGTGCTTTTTAAAATAGTTACTGTTATTCAGTTTAATTAGCGAAAGATTCCTGGAATTGCCCTTGATTGCTTTTTTTAATTTAGCAGGTTTTTTTTATCTTAACATTACACTACCACAACAGATTGTCACATTGACGCAATGTTACACTAAATAAAATGCCACAAGACATCTTGTATTACACATTATGATATTATGAAATGCTAATTAGTTGTTTTTCCAGAATTCAGTATGGTATTTTATGAATCCTGGTCTTTGACATTACTTCATTTTGGAATCAATGAAACCAGCTGAGGACAATAAGATATGGAAGTGTAGTTTTGCTCAGGGGAATAATGAATTAATTATTTTTAATTGCTAATTTTATTACCCACCTAAAATGGGCTGGTCCTGCAGAGCTCATTGTATCTGTGCTGCTTGTTTTCAGGAATACTTTAAAAGGAGCAATACAATACAGACCTTGATGGGAAACAATACTTTTGGAATCAAATGGGAAAAGAGATAATTTATGTAGAAATGGAAACAAACAGCGGAAGTTTCTTTAATCTTCTTTTTCATCAAGTAAGAGATTTTGAAGGCACAGTGGGGAGCCAGGATACTTTCCATCTTCTAAAACTCTGCCCTGCTTTTCCATGTTGAAATTTTTATACCCTCTGTTCCAGGGGACTGGTTCTACTTTTAGAAATACAAGGAGAATTTGGAGAAAGATCCCCTACTTATATGTACAGTAGGTGAATGCGCTAAAACCGATATTCCACGCTTTGTAAAAATTGTACTGGATTTCTTTTTCCTTTTGAAAAGAGGAGTTTGTGCAACATTTCCAACATAATCTATAAAAAGTACAACATATCTAGAGAGCATATTGGTGTCTATTGGCTAAATATGCATCAAACAGAGTTTTGGAATACAGCTCTATGGATTTCTCTAGTGCTGTCTGGATTTCTAGACTTTTGGCCCTGTCACTTTGCAGCTAAAGTTCGAAACAGAGAGATGACCCTTGCTAAAACACAGCAAGTTAATTAAGAAAGCACCTGACGAAAAACTAGGCAGTTAATATTTGGTAAAGTGAATTTCATTTAAAAACCTTTAGATAGTCTGTGAATTAGGCAGTAAAGACATAATGCATGTATATGCAAATAAATACACATAAGCAAATATACATAACCTGCTATTATGCTAGAGGCTCTACTTTATATTGAAATACCTCATCCTCCATGCTTCCTCAAGAAAAAAAAATAGCAATAGCACAATATTTGCTCTGCAATGGGCATATCAAAAGCAATGCATCAGCGCATTCCTCTGCCGAAGAATGTGGGTCATGCAAGCCTCTCTCTTTCTGGAAACCAGCTTCCCTGAGCACAGCTGGTTTCCCCGTCTTCTCCTCACTGCTCTCACCTGATTGGTAGTCCAGGCCTGTTTGTCTGTCCAGTCCTTGTGGTTCCTGATGTACCACCACTGGATCTCCAGGGAGTAGGAGGGCGACCCCGCCCCACGGAAAGAGCACGCCATCTCCACATCCTGCCCGCTGCGCGCCGTGATGTCGTGGGGCACCTCAGTGAAGAGCGCTGCAGACGATTTCCATGAAAATTAAAATGGAGAGGAACACCATTTTTATTTCGTGCTTTAGGCTTTCACACAAAACACAGTCATTTCCATGAAGTGGCTTCTGCAATGCGGTGTTTGTGGAAGTGTTTTTGGCTGAGAAAGCAAACCAGCCCCTTACAAAACCAAAATGAAATGTCTGCAAGGATGCTTTGATTAGCATTCTGAATGATTTTTGAAATAATTATTAATCATTTAGCAGGCACCGTCTAAATGGGACTTTAAAACGGGATGTGAATGAATCCTCTGAACAAGTTCAAAAGCTACTGCAGAAGCTACAGACAGAAAGACCGCACAGTTTACACTTCAATCCAAAGGACAGAGCAGAAAACATCCAGGCAAAAAGCTCTTCATCTGTTAGGTAATACAGCTTTAATATTCTGTTGTTTTCCTCACTTGTACATATTTTATACCTTCTCAAAAACGTAACCATAAAGACCCAACACTCCAGTCTTACCATTGGCAAGACTGGCCTTGCACATTGACTCTATACTATCGAAAGGAAAGAGGACAGAACTGTTGTTTTACATTCCTACAGTAGCTGTAGCAAGATGCTAGTCTTCTGACTGGTTTGTAACATGACATCTTTGGGCATGTAAATACAAACTTGGCATTCAGAATGCCAAAAACAGGCTACAGTCTCTCATTCTTGTACAGAATGAGAATTAGGAATTTGTTTTTCGCTTTATGCTCCGTAAAACAAATGGTAGAGACACGGGAACATGCAGCACAAATCGCAGGGAAATGGAGGATCTGGAGACATGTTTTAAATCCAGCGGTTTGAAATGGTGAAGCAAGCCCTCCTCCTGCTGCTATTACAGTGAAAGTCTTCCGGGCCCAAGTCCCCAGATGAATAAAAACAATCTTCAGTCTTATCAAAGTAGCAGGCGATACTAAATGCGTGGGAGGATAATACTTAATGCTGTTGTCTAACCTTTATACTAGATTTTAAAATGATTTACACTCTGACATCCTTAATGTTCAAAATAGCATTCTTAATCTATTTTAAAGCATATTTTAAATGTCATCTCATTAATGTAACTTAACTTAAAATGAAACTCTCAGACATTTTGACGTCATTGCTGAACTTTGGACAAAATCACAGCTACAACTAGTAAGAGACATACTGTAAGACACATGCAATTGTTTTATGAGGAAAGCCTACAGTTCCCTCTGCTGAAAAAACATCTGCACCTTGGAAAATTTGTCTTTTAAAAGGCTTGGAAATTGTCCCCCAGTGCTAAAAAATGTCATGATGAATGGCTTTTTTAGCTATGCAAAAACACTTCTTAATCAACAAATCTTGAGTGAGACCTGCGCTGCATTTAAACAAGCAGCAGCTCAAGCTGTGCACCTGCGCTGAGAGGTACAGTTATTGGCTCTGCTCAGCGAAGAATATGGTCTTTAATCCTACACTGTAGAAACTAGCCTTTGCAAATGAAGACATCAGTTCAGCTGATCCCAGCACATCCACCTATTAACCACTGAACAGACAGTGCCAAAATCCTCTTAACTGCTCCCTTAAACAGATTTTTAATTTGCAGCTAATCCCCTTTTTGAAGATACAGCCAGAGAGGGAGCTACTGCATCTCGTGACCTCTCTCTCAGGATCACTGCAAAGCACCCTGGGAAATCCTCACAGCTCTAACACTGAGTTGGGACACGAAGAGCTGAGTATCTTAACTCTGTGATTTACTGTTGAGTGCTTCTCACAGACAAGTCCTGTTTTAAATATACAACTCTTGGTTTTTTTTTTCCTTTTCAGGCTGCTAAGTATACAATATATCACAGCTTCACTGTTCCCAAAAATATTATTTCCCTTGAGATTAAATCTTACTTTATTGAATTATTCCCTAATGGAAGCAACTATGAAAACACTAAAACTGGGTAGCACATGTCACTTAAACAAGTAAATGAGATGTTTAAAGACATTGTATTCTATATGGAAATTCAAATATACTGTATCTGCAGCCTCTATATTAAAAAAGTCCAACAGAAAACCATCAATTTGTACAGACTTGGAACACCTGTGACTTGTGATCAGTTTAGGAAAATGTCAAGAATGACATGAAGAGTGGTGCCTGTGAACAGGCATTGGAATTTGCATTTCATAATGATCTCTACATTACTTAATTGAATTTCACCTGCGCTAGCAGTCAAAATAAAAATTCTCAAGGTGTTTTGAAATCAGTGGCTTCAGAGTGACATACAAAACCTGCTGCACTGTGGCTCTCCAGGCTCAGAGCTGACCACTCTTGTGTTAACATCTTATCTTAGACTGGTCTGGATGAATTAAGCTTCACCTTGGCTCATAGACACGTCTATTGACAGATAACTACAGTTCAGTTAAACGTTTTTATTACTCTTAATAAATTAGAAAATTGTGGTCAAGATACAGGGAGAAAATACTGCAATTAAATTGGACCATTTCTCAAAAAGAGTAGGGGTGTTACCCCGACATCCAGGCCAATTTCCCATTGGCCCTTACTAATCATTGCCTGCTAATAATCCCCATCTCTGAACTGGCTTCATCACTCTTTTCTCCCCACTAATAGCTGGTGTGTGATGAGCATCCTGGAGCACTATGGCTGCTGTCACATCATCCAGGTGAGGCTGCACATTGGTGTTGGTGGAGGGGAGTCCCCATTACCTGTAAAGCACTTTTAGTGGAGTGTCCAGAAAAGTGCTACATCATAATGAATTCTTATTATTATTAATAGTAATGTGCTTGCACCTTTGGTCAAATACTCATTCCAGTTTTATTTTACAACCGCTTTTAATGCCTTTGTATTAATAGTCAAGGGTGTCACATAAGGACTAGATTAAAAATGCACTGAACTGTACTGGGATTTGCCCTGGTATGAGTGTGTGCATCTGTGTCTCTCTGCCCTGCGACGAACTGGCTTCCCTTCCAGGATGTATCCTGCCTTGTACTCATTGCTTGCTGGGATAGGATCTGGCTCCCCCACGACACTGAATTGGATGAAGCAGTTAGAAAATGAGTGGATGGTGGGTGGGGAAAAGTGTTAAATGGTTTCTGTCCTACTTGTACTAGGGTGAACCCATCACCTGGCTTGTTAAAACTGATCAGTTTTTCAAGCCCACACCAGAATCTTCAGTTAAACATCAGCTCTGCACACTGGAGTGGAAAACAGTAAAGCTCATATTTCTCACTTCTCCAGTGTAATTTCAGACTGTCATACACAGGTTCAAAACATATCAACACTAAGACATTTCATCACAAGAAAAAGAACAAATGAAATAAGGATTGGTATCTCTCTTACACTGCAATGAATATTATCAAATTTTCATCATTCTTCTTACTCACAGATCTGACCGCAGAAGCGACAAAACCATCTTCCAGGCAAATGAGTTCGTGGATTTCTTCAGTAATCAGTGTAATTAAAATAAATTGAGTGAAATTAAAAAAAAAACATAAAAAACTCACACTGGGCCTGTGTGAGCACTAAGTGTGTGGATTTTTAGCATTAATCTTTTGCCAGAAAGCTGCTTGTTTCTGGCATGGTACACAGAACACAGAGCCTATCATGGAAGCACAGGGTGTAAGACTGGACTTCCTGGAAAGGACATTAGTCAATTGCAGATTTCACACAGGCATAAGCACCTTGGGACAATTCAGGGGCACCAAATGATATAGATGGGGAAGGTTGGAAGAAACCAGAACACCAGGACAAAACGCATGTGAATATGGAAAGAACATGCAAACTCCACCAAGAAAGTGCCCTAATCTAGAATTGTACCCAGGAGGCCAGAGATGCAAGGCAGCAGCCCCTACCACCTGATCACTCTGACACCAGTATTTCTATCTAACTGTCTAAAGATGTTAATAAAAACATTGGAGACCAGATGAAAAAAGGGATGGTGCGTTGTGAGTTGGTGTAATTCACCTAGTTGTTGCTCCTGTGGTAGGCTCTTCTCAATGTGCAGGAAAGCAGTTTTAAACAGGAGAATACAAATGAATAAAGCCTTGTGCTAATTTCTTCATTTTTAGTCTTTTCCTGGATGTGGCACATTACAGTCCAAAATAATGGTTTAATATGGTAGCCTGGATGGGTGGCAGAGTGGCACAGTAGCTGGCATTGCTGCCTCCCAGCACTGGAGCCCTAGGTTAATTTAGACCTGAGATGCTTTCTGCATGGAGTTTGTGTGATCTCCTTGTGTTCCAGAGTTTCCTTTGGGTGTTCTGGTTTCTTCCCGTAGGCCAAAGACATACTGGTATGTTTATTAACTTCTGTGAAAAATGGCCCTGTTGTGAGTGTGTGCATGTTTGTCTCTGTATGTGCCCCAGCAACTGACTGATGTCCCATCCAGGGTGTATCCTGCCTTGTTCCCATTTCTTCCTAGGATAGACTCCTAGGTAGACTCCTAGTTGTGGCTCCCCCACAGCTCTATATTGCAAAAAGTGGAAAGAAAATAGGTGGATGATAGTTTGAGGAATTGTCTTTCTGAAAATAACTAAATTAGGAAGAGATGCATTAAACAGAAATAATGAGGTGTCTGTCAAATAACTGGATGCCTGTGAATTTTGTGCAGTTAGAAATGGAAAAACATTAAGCAATGCAAAAAGCACTGACTGTATATGACATTTAGGAGACCAAGTAACACTTGGTGAAGTCTGTCATGTCATGAGAAAATGCCGCCTGTTCATTTAGCAAAAATAATGCAAATTTAACACAAAATAAAGGGACCAACAGCTGACGTTTCAGTAATAATAAGCACAGTGAACTGAAATGCATTAGAAGAAGTAATTATTGAATTCTTTTCATTCCAAATAAGAACGGTCATCAGTATACAGTGCCTTACATTCTTTCTCCTTCTAAAATTTCTAAATACAGTGGTCATCTTTCATTGAGCTGGAGTGTATTCAGTTTTTACACAATGGAAAACCTTCTTTTGTGCTCTAACAAGTGACTTCTCTCTCTGCTTCAATGAGGGGAAAATT